CTTTATTGAGTGGAGAATGAAGGCAAATTAAACAATAAGAAGTATTTTTTAATATCAGAATGCTGGACTTGCATTGAAATGTTTTTACAAAGAACACATTTTATTTTAAGCACGTAGACTGAATGTTTCATGTATTACACTACAAATTGGTGAAAGAAAGTATAGTAAATACTTTACGAGTTTAGGGCCTGCAGTTGATAACTTTATTGGTTATAAAGGCGAATAGTAAATTAAATTTGTATACCAAATAATACTAGTAAATTATACTAAATAACTAACTAGTTTAACTTAAACTTTAAGGGGTCAATAATAACATTACTTTCAAGTATTAAAGCCAGCAGTAGACATTTCACCAGCATATACGCCATTTATCTAATGCATCTAAATTCTAATGAATGGTGTTAGAAATAATTACCAATCTCTCACACATATTTCTTAACAATCTTTTTACACTTCTTAAATAAAGTATCAGTAAATATGACAAGACTAAACAAATGCTTACGGCTATGTACCTGTATCAGGACACATTCAACACACATTTAATAAAAACACTTGGATGATAAATACTCATTAAAACTATCAACCACAGCTCTATAATGAAATTAATCTAAGTTTTATAAATAAATATTTTTTAATTAAATATAAATATTTGTGAACACTGTGAACTGAGTACTAAACCAAACTTACAAAAAAATCAACTAATACTGTATACATGAATGCAGGGGGTAGAGGGTGTGCGACTACAGAACATACAAACATACACAAGAACATGTACAAAGAAGTTGAATAAAGTGTTTGTGCAAGGTCATAAATAAATGAAAATGCTGCACGAGTTTTGTTAACAAGTGAATGTAGCTATGCTACTTACAAAAGTTAATCTTGTTATAGTACTGAAGGAAGCTAATCTTGTAAAAAGCTAATCATGTAAACACACCTTATGCTTTAAACTATTTCAATTTCAACATCCCCTTATGTCATAAAACCAAAATTTTGTGTTCCTAATCAATATATATATATATATATATATACTGTATGTAAAAAATGTGGGAAAATGGAAACAACTGCCTTCCTATAGCAAAATCCTGCCTATGCTGTCATAGATGCGATACTGAACAATTATACTGCAATTATATAGACAGCTATAAAAAATATATATCTATTAGCCATACCCTAAAGGAGTTCTTACTATCACCACCCGCCATACAACTACATAAGGGACCCATCCAAGGTTAACCTACTCTTGTTTATTTTGTTTTCATTGGTTAAGAAAAAAAAAATTCTCAGTCAAGAGGAAGAATATAAGTCTAACAAACAATTTTTGGACTAGGTAGCGCCTAACCCAACTGTCTAAGAATCCCTATCTACAGTGTGCCAACAAACTCTATCACCATTAAAGTGTAAAGAAAACTTGAAATTAATGTACCCATAATGCAACACTCTCCCTATCAACACTGTCATGAACATGCTTTGATTAAAATTTACACACATTATTTACATACAGTTTAAACTTTATCACCTTAATTTATTCCAGTATTTTGTCAAACCGTAATTTAGACCAAAGGTCTACGTCAGAAAGTATTTAATAATACATACATATTTAATCAGTAAATTATTTAAATATCTCATTTTTTTAAAATTGTTTAACCTATAATAATCCAAATATCAGAAACAGTTTTCAGATTTTATTATGAATGCTAAAAAGCATTTTTCCCAATTTCAAAATTGAAAATGGTGTTATTTTAACTCTGACATAGAAATTTACTAAATACAAAACATGGGGCAACAGCTATTGTTAAATTTGTTTTAAAAACACAATGTATGACAACCTCACAAACTTAAATATTGGGGTGATAAAAACTTGCAATATATTTAGTACAAGATTATATTATAAGGGTTTCACTAAATATATCAGAAATGTGACCTTGTAGCACTCGCCTCATTATATCAACTATAAGGCACATTTGATAAAAATAGATCACAACGGCCAAGCCAAAAAATTATCATAAAACTACACGTCTAACATGTTCTTTTAAAAAATGTTTATTTCAGTAATAGCCTTTGAAATTCGCTGCAATATATATGTGTTGAATATAGCAGTTGTAAGCTCATGTTGGTCAAATAAGAGTTATAATTACAATAAAATGCAAAACCATTTTAAAAAGTTCCTTTTCAAACCAAACGGTTTATGGGGCAAGTGAAGTAGAGCTAACTTGTTTCTGTGACCTCGGCATATGAAGGGATGATAGTGTGGTCAGCACTATGCCCAGCCGCCTTTACTTACCCTAACGTGAGTTAGGCACCCATCAGAGCTGGGTGGACTCTGGGACGGTCTACAGACTTGAACCCGGATTCAAACTCGAGACTAACGGGTTAGCAGTCCAGCTCTCTACCGCTAGACCACTCCGTCCCATAAAACCATTTTACTTGTTCATTAACATACACTAAGTCTCTGTGCTACACATCAATTCAAAAGTTTTGATTTACAATTAGATAACATTAGCTTGTTCACATACTTTATCCGACTCCTGGTATCTTCAAATAATTATCTCGATGTTTTTTCTGTCATCAACTAATATAAACATATATGAACATATATCAACTAGCATTTGTATTAAATGTTGTATTCAATTACAAAATTACAATATACATTTTAGATTTTGTTTTTTATCACTGACATCCCCCAACAAATATAAACATATATCAGCTAACATTTTTTTTAAACGTTATATATAATTACAAAATTATGGTATACATTTTAGATTTTGTTTTCTATCATTAACATATAAACATATATGAACTGACATTCTTTTGTAAGTGTAACATTCAATTACAAATTTAAAGTGTACATTTAGATTTAAAAACTAAAATTTTAAAACGTATGATTAAAAACTGAAAATGGTTTAACATCAAAAAAGTGTTTTTGATTTAACATCATCATACAGACAGACAGACAGACAACAACATAAGATCAATTCCCAGCTGCAGTATAATCATAAATAACTTATTGATTAATCTCTTTTTAAAACATTTATTAATGTGATCAAGTTTATCAGTTAAGTATGTTATAAAGCTGATGTTGTAAACAATAAGAATAAATGACGTTTGTTTAACTTATTAACAAGCAAAAGCTACAATAAATTACTCTGCATATTAATTTTTTTTTTACAAACAATACATTATATATTATGCTTTCCATACAGTTTATGAATATTCATTAAACAAAACAAATTCACTCATAATGGACATATATGTACAAGTAAAATAAAAGTGTAAATATTAATTCCAGACCAAGTTGTTTATATCAATATGCAAAACCTGTGAATAAGCCATAATAAGAAAAAGTGACAAAAAGTATGATTGTAAGCTAATTTAAAAAAACATGCTTGAAAATGCAAATTTTTAAGTATACGGACATTAGATATATGAATCTAGAAAGTAAAGAAATTGACTTTAAAAAATGCTGTGCAGGAATAACAATCACAAATTATTGACATCAGGAAAATGTAAACAAACCCAGTCAGGTGAGAATACTGTAGAGGTAAGCACTATCAGAAGATCATTGTTCCATCACCAGCTACATCACACCAGGCTTAACGTAGCAGTATCAACAGTGACACTATGTTCAACTTATTAGTTTCAACAGCGACAATATGCTCAACTGTCAGTATCAACGGCGACACTATTATGCTCAACACGTCAGGATCAACAGTGAACCTATGTTCAACTGTCAGTATAAACAGTGACACTATGCTCAACATGTCAGTATCAACATCAGCTTCACTGACAACTATGTACTCAACATGTCAGTATCAACAGTGACACTATGTTCAACTGTTAGTATCAACAGTGACACTATACTCAACTGCCAGTATCAACATCAGCTTCACTGACAACTATGTACTCAACATGTCAGTATCAACAGTGACACTATGTTCAACTGTTAGTATCAACAGTGACACTATACTCAACTGCCAGTATCAACAGCAGCTTAACTGACAAAAAATGCTCAGCTAATCAGTATCAAGCACAGCTTAACTGAAAACACTACACTTAACAAGTCAGTATCTGCTAGAGTTAATGACAACACCATGCTCAGGCATGTGTCAGTATAACTGCCATGACAACACTGCTAACTTGCTAGCATCAACAAGAAGATACATTAGTACACAGTAGATCACATTCTATTTGGTAAACATCATAAAAATTTAAAGTCCTACTGTGTAACATTTGTTTAAAAAATAATCAGAGCCATATTGTTTTACTTTGTGACAAATGAAACTTAAACACAATGTCTATGGAGAAAATTATGAAATGCTACATGTAACGTCATATCATTTTTACCTCTTTAGCATTTAATCAGCAGACGTATATTGAAGGGCGAAGTTACACAGCAAATGTGTAAATAGTAATCTATTTTAAAATCCATTAAACCAATTAGGATAAATCCTATACTGTCCTAATTAAATGTGTTGAAATTTAAAAATAACTCTACATTAACTTAATTCTACATTAACTAAAGATTCAATTCTTTATGAGTAAGAAAATGTATGGAATATAATGAATTTGTTAATATAACAAGTTTCACTAATTTAAAAATGTACTGGGGTCTTGTTTTTTTAACAAAAAAAATGCATAACCATTGCATAATGAAATGCTGGCTATTTAAAATGTCAGTAATCTTGACAGTTTGAGTAATATTTAAACAATGAAGCTTAGCTGACAAATGAAAAATGATTTTTAAAAAAAACATGTCCATATTTCAAGGAAATTCAACTATTAAAACAACTTTAGCAGTCAAAAAAATTTCAATTGTACAGATTCCAATTTAAATGAAAAAATAATTAGATGCCATTAGATTTGGTTCTGTGAAGAGATAGAAGTTAAATGTATCTAAAGCACTTCCATATTTCAAGGAAATTTGACTATTAAAACAACTCCAGAAGTCATATAAAATTCAATTGTGTACAGATTCCAGTTTTAATGAAAAATAATTAGATGCCATTAGATTTGGTTTGGTGAAGAGATAGAGGTTAAATGTATCTGAAGCACTTGGTTTTGTCATGCGCTATTCTTGTCTTGAAGAGCACAGAGTCCACCCTGTACTGGGTGTAGAAGAGGGGGGTGTACCCGTAGACCTGGGAGAAGAAGTTAATACACTGGTGCCTTTCTTCAAAGTGGCTGGAGTTGCTGGACAGGGTAGTGGGGCAGCCTGGGCACCGGAACGTCCATCGCGAGGTAACCTGGACACATATCCCACAAACATTTGAGTGGACATTAAGGTAATTACAAAGCATTCTCATGGGGCATTTACAAATAAATTTAATTATTGGTTATTTTTTTTTAATTTTACAAAAAAAAAAATTTCTGAAGTTCCTTATTGATTTTCATTATGTAAATCATTTCAGTTATAACCTTTGAAATTCACTGCAATATATTTGTGTTTAATATAGCAGTGTTAAGCTCATATCAGTAAAACTAAGATTTTCCTAGAATATCATTCTATGTAGTCTCAATTATCTGTCCTTTTGGACATAATGCAAATAGTTTATATTCAAGAAAAAGCTCAATTAAGACATTAAGTCAAAAAAAAAAGTTAAAATCTCAGTTACCTGTCTTTTTGAGATTATATCTAAACGGTTTACTTTCTAGGGAAATCTCAATATTCTGTCTCTTCAATTTTCAAAGAGCTCAGGAAAAATATTAACCAAGTAGTGTTACAGCAACAATGTTTACAATTATTACCACAGGGTGACAATATTTACCTTTACAGGTGGTTTACGAGTGATGTGTGACACAAGAAAGTTCATGGCGATGTCCTCACAGTTCATGTACTCGTCCACCTTGTCTCGTATGGCCTGAGGCATGACGTAGCTGTACAGGTAAGTGTAGTACTGTGGAAGAAATTACAATTTTAAACACACAGATCTAAAGCATGACATAGCTGTACAGGTAGGTGTAGTACTGTGGAAGAAATTACAATTTTAAACAAACAGATCTAAAGCATGATGTAGCTGTACAGGTAAGTGTAGTAAAGTGGAAATTACAAGACATTGATCTAAGGCATGATATAGCTGTACAGGTAGTAGTCCTGGAAGAAATTACAATTTTAAACACAGATCTAAAGCATGACAAAGCTATAAAGGCAGGTGTAGAACTGGGAAAGAGATAAATTGTACAAGGTAGGTGTAGTACTGTGGAAGAAGAGAAACTATAATTTTAAGCACACAGATCTAAAGCAAGATGAATCTTTACAGTTAGGAGTAGTATTGGGAAATAGAAGAAATTACAAGATATTGATATTAGGTATGATGTAGCTGTACAGGTAGGTGTAATACTGGGAAAGAGAAGAAATTACAATTTAAATATGCTGATTGGTATGAAGGGGGTCGGTGTGGTCGAGTCGGTAAAGCTCATGGTTGCTAAACCGAAAAGTCTCGAGTTCGAACCCTCGGGCAGATGAGGCTCGTTAGCTGGGGACAGCCACTCTTCTAGGAGAGACAACTCCAAAATTAAACAACTGCTGCCTTGAAGTTTGTTCTTGGTTGGACAAAGGCTATGGAAGCAAATCCAAAAAGAAAAGCAGGCTGAAATCGGAGTCAATGGCCTCAATGGCGCATAACCAGTTGACACGTAACGCTTAATTGTGTTGTTGGCGTGGTCGAGTCGGCAAAAAGCTCATGGTTGATAAATTCGAACAAAGTCTCGAGATCAAACCCACTGGCAGATAAATCTCGATCCCCTTCAACACTCATAATTAAGAACGAAGAAGAAGAAGGTATGAAGCTATACAGAAAACAACTTACCTTGTGAAAGAAAGCAGCACCAGTCAGCACCATGGATAACTCGCAGGAGTAGTTGGAGTTGTAGTTCCAGGATTGGTGCTTGACATCCCAGGCATGGAATCGACCAGGGAATCCCACGACCCTTGCCCTCTCTTCTCTCCACACCCTGCCAGCAATAAACAGTAAAAATTTAAGTTCCCATTCCAGGCTAAATGATCCATAGGGCAGTTGTTTCTTGACCTCGGCATACGATGTGGTCAGCAATATGCCCGGCTGCCTATACTATCCTTTATGTCACTCAGGTACCTATCAGAGTTGGGTGGACTCAGAGACACCCTATAGTTATGAGCCAGGACTGAGATCCAAACTTGAAACCCTTAGGCTAGCAGTCAGGCAATCTACCACTTAATCAGTCTTTTCTGGTAACAAGAAACCAACATGACAGAAATAAACCAACATGTTAACCCATTCTCTTCTCTTCATGACAGAAATAAACCAACATGTTAACCCTTTCTCTTCTCTCCATGACTACAATAAACGAACCTATAAATAAACATAACTGGTATTGCTATAAAAACTAATCCTAAACCTACAACTCTAGTTGAGTACCTCTAGCTAAGTGCTCCAAAACAAGCACATTGTTTACCATTACCTAAATCCAAACACAATTTCATCATGTCTAAGGTGGGCATCATCATCAATGCTAAGTATAGCTTCAGTCTCAATAGAATCATAGGGCAGGAAACGGTTGTTCAAACTGTTTTTTCTTGTTCTTAAAACCTGCACAAAAGAGAGCCACCCTTACGTTTATTAACAAAAATAAGCTATTTCCTAGTACTATTACTGGTTCAGGATAAAAGCGATCTTAGTCTTTATTCTAATCATAGAGATACACACAATTTTTCAAAGAAAATAACAATGTTACAAAAAATTCTTATTGGGTATTCTATAGGAGAAAATATTGTTAAGAGATGCTATCAAAGAAAAAAGAAAATAACTATGTTATTGAACATTTTTAAAGGCTAGCCTTTAGAGAGAAAAATTATTAAGAGAGGTAATTTTTCAAAACCAGCCCCCCTCACCTCAATTCTTTCTTTGTCCAACTTAGTACTTTCAATTTACATGTTATTTTTAAAGACGCACATATTTCAGAAAAAATATTTTAACATAAATTGCACTGGAGTTACCTCGATGGGGACCCCAATCTCTGGCCAACGAAGATCAACTGAGGGCGGACTCTCTCCATTCCAAATGACTAAAACTTTGTTCAAGAATGGAAGGCCTTTGAAGCGGTGCAACGCATGGATCAGCACAACCTCTCTGTCATAAGTTAGCATCACAACTGAAAACAGTATCATTTTACTATGGTTTAATTCGTTTCACAAACTCTCCAGCAGTTTAGATAACATATCAACAATTATTATTATGAAATCATGTCTACCAGCTAATCTTTTTTTTTATTAGTTTAATGAAAAATAATTTGTTTCTTAATTTATTAGAAAAAAGGTAAAATATAGTGTAGTATATTTTTATCTCCAGCTAGAAACATTTTGCTATGGGATAAGATCATGATTAAAATTACAACAGAGTTAGGGTAAGGGTAAATTAATTAATGTCAAGTCTAGGATTAAAGTAATGACTCCATCTAAAATAATCATCAAAACAACCTGCCGCCATTTTTTTTCAAGTCCAAATATTTCCGATCCTTCATTGGACACCTAGGCTAACCCAAGGCTGAAAGTTGACTTACTTGTGAATTGTTCTCGTGGTGAGTTACCCCCAAGAGCCTCACTGAAATCTCTGCCGTCTCCACCAGCACCTTTACCAATGGGACGGAATCCATAATTTGAACCTTAACCCCATGGAATGTAAACAAACATGGTTAGAGATTTTATTTTCAATATGAGTGATACTAACTTAAATAAAATATAATTTCTAAACATACAAAGGTATTATGTATCAAATTTAAGAAGCAGTTTAAGAAAAAAAAACTTAAAACCGTTGTTTAGATTACTAATGATGCTTAGGATTAGTCAAAACTTTGTAAACAAAGATTGAACTCACCTATAAATTTAGACTCAGATGGTAACCAGGGTTCAAAAGGTGTGTAAGGATACAGGTGAAATGGGTCACCTCTCTCGTTGAAGGAGTGCATCTGCATGAAGTGTGAAAAATTATAGCGGTAGGTTTCAGAGGGAAAAGGACTCTCAACAGGTCCCAGAATTTCATCGCTCTCCGGCTCCGGGTCTGGGCCGAGGTGCTTCAGCGGTATGAAGGATGGTGGGAACACGCTGACGGAAGGTTCCCCTTTAGCTGGCCGTGCTGGAATCTGGAGGCGTGTCCTGAGTGTGGCCAGCAGCGTGTCCACCAGGGGCTGCGTGGCGCTGAAGTAGCTCTGGAAAAACACACGGCCCTGCAAGCGCAAGGATGAGATGTGCTCGTCGGGGAATGACTGCAAGTAGAACGGGATTTCTGTCACCCGAGGGGTGGGGAGCACGATGGCTGCGGAGTCCCAGCGTAACACCTCAGAGTACGGCAGCTGCCCCTGTGAGCCGAGGATCACAGGGATGGACCCGTGTTTCAGAGCTTCGTAGACTCTGGTCTGGAATGCAATGGTGGAATAAAGTGAGGAGTTCAAAGGGGAGACGACCAGTGTAAAAGTCGACTGAATGATTTTTTCTTTACGAGCAGCTTCAGTACCGCACAGAGCCCAATCCCCGGGGGTGATAGCAGTGGCGCCGTGCTCCCCGCACGATACGTCCACGTAAAAGTTACTCTGATGGCCGTTCTGGAAACTCTTCAGCGAAGAGACGATAGCTTGCTCAATGTGGGAAAAAGAGTTATAACCTGCGTGGGTGTCGTCCACAGACAAGGGCTTACGCTGCATGTTGTTAACAAAGTCTTTCACGTGCCCATCCCCACCATTTGCCCCAGACTCTGGTTTCTCAGGTGGAACAAACTGCCCCCAGTAAGAAAGAAGGAGCTTCCTTCTGACGGGAGACAGGGGAGGCAATGCTTGCCAGATGGTGTCACTCGTGATTGGCCCCAAGTTTGGAGGGAGTAAAACATCGAATTTTTCTCGGAACATTTTACTGGTGAATGACGACTGGGCTATGAGAGCCCGGCCTGTGTTCACACCATGAAGCAAATTATTCGACGCTGTTGTTGTTGCCAGATTCAGCAACACATGATTGCGTCCATCCCCTCCCCAATGGGGCAGCTCTAGAAGAATATTCTCCAACTTTTTAGGGTCAAAGTGCTTCTCATCAACCAAACCGCTTATTAATACAATAAATACACATGCATTTGCAGGTGTGTTGGTAATATAAATATTTTGATCAAATATTGTCTTCAACACTGAATATATACTTTCCAAGTTTGTAAAGCCATTAGTGTACTCTGCTTCACTGTAAAAATAAACTGGGAATCCTGAAACCAGAGAACAGCGCGAGAAGTCAAAGCAGCTTTCCATTTTACAGTGCTGTGAAGATGAAGGCATCGGCACTTTGTCACTGGCGTCAACCTCCATCAAAATCCTGTGCGGCGCCCGAATGATTGGTATATAAGACTTGGATTCCTCCTGCTCAAACCTGATTTGCTCTAAAGCCATTTTGATCTGGCTGACCTCCTTGTTTAAAGTCTGGTGCTGAGTTTTAAGACTGTCAATGTTGTTTGAGTAGCTGGTGATCTCAGACTGTAGTCTCAGGCGTCTGTTCTCCAAGTCTCGTAATTCGTTATTCACCGATGCCTTAATGTGCCGTAGCTCCTCAATCTCATGCTGGTATGCAGACAGGGGTCGGGGGTTGGGGTCGGATTCGTCAGTGAAACCTTCGATGTTACGTGTCTTATGGGAGAACGGCTGGTTGTCGTTGGTCACCATGTTTGAGATGTAGTGGTGCCCGAAGAGGGACAGGATCACCATGAGTATGAGCAGGGTGAAAACCACTTTAAAGGCTGGGAGACTCTGAACCCGCATCCTGGATTCTTTCTTCATATACATTTGCTCAACGGATGTTAAATCTTCGTCACCATATCAACCAAGTTCTAATCTGTCTAAGATCAGCAAGAAATTCTGAGAGTCGTGTTATTTTTTTTCATCCTCCGGGTAAAGATAACATTAGTATAAATAGGGCGGGGATTGAAGCCATTTTAGTGGATTGATTTAAATCCTTTCCCCTCCAATCTGTAAATAAAATAAGGCAAATACTGTCAGCAGGAAATTAACTCTACTTTTGTGGTTAAAACATAAAAAACAAGAATTCAAGAACATCAAGGAACAAACGTAATAACACTCAAGAGTTTCTGAGGAACTAACATAACAAAAATAATGAAACATCTAATTCTGATTGCACATTAACTAGCGCAACATCTAACGTTACATGTTTTAAGTTCTATTAATAAACTTTAAAGTTAATATTAGGAGGTAGTTTTCTTGTGTTACGATTTATATTCACAACATATGCATGATTAAGATTGAGATTGAGGCAAAAGTGCTAAGTTTTTGTTTCTTTAAGAGTTAATTCTATTAAAAACTTCCTTTTTTTCCCAATGAAATTAACTTATCACATAACAAAAACTTGAATTTAATTTTGAACTTACCCACTTCTGCATTTAAATCACTCTACATTATTTCTTAAAGTAAAACAAAACAAATATCTCATTTTCTTGAAAACTATTATGACAGAGCTGACAAAAATTGTGTAAATAACACAAAAGGGCATCACAAGGGACGCATTGAGCCACAAAATGTTTAGCGCATTAGTTCTAAAAGGTTAAACCTATTTCAGCTGCTAGAGTGAAATAATTTAATGTCCACAGGCAAATAACAGTTACATCAAAGTTCAAATGTGCAATGATGAAATCTGTAGACAGTTTTGAGCCCCTAGTCCCTGATGGTGCAAATAATTTGTTAATCAATGAAATGAGTGCTGTTGGCCTAGCCTTATGTCCCCACATAAGGGACTAGCTAGGCCTGTAATCTTTATAGTAGGTAGTCACTCTTTACCATCCAAAAACTAATCCTCAGGAATGCAGGTATCACAGTGTAAATGCATAGATCAGATTGCCGCAGAGATTTCATGCTTGTCATGTCAATTATTTCTGGACTCTGATTCCTTTGTGTTCAGTCCAGTTTGTTATAAAAGAGAAATAAGGAGCTGTTGTAATATTTACAGATGAATTACTCTAGTAATGACACTTGAATAATAAGGTTTCATTGATTTCTTGTCAATGTTGGATTTCATAATTTAAATTTTGAATACTGTTTCCACTTCATCAATAGTCTATGTTGACATGCCGTGCAAATAATTGTGTATACAACTAACTAATGTTAAGAGATGGGCCAGATGAGCTGATAATACATTTGTATGATGTAGATTTGCATGAAGTAGCTACTTCTAAAGTAAATCCCTGCCTTCACTCTTACAGAGGAAAACTGAACACTGATAACAAATGTTAGTTGCCAATAAAAGCCTTTTTCTATGCTAGATGAAGACATTTACACATAATATGCATTTTACTTCTATTCAACAGCTTGAATGTGCACATCTGTTACTGTTGGTTTTTTTTAGCTCTTCATCTTTGTCCTTACTTGTAATGTTAGTATAAAATAAAACAAAATTTGAATCTACTAGGTTTTTTATAATATTAATGACCTGTAGGTCTCATATTTGGACTGAACTAAAACACCCAATTATATTCCTAACAAGGTGACCTGTTGTTGATTTCAGCTGTATCAGCTTAACCATCAGTGACCCTCACCTGTGTGAATTGCCTGGCGCCTATTTCTTGTTTTGATGTTTTTAATCAGTCTTAATTAATATTAAGGTTGATTTGAAAGGTGAAAACTGTTAACTCTATCCAAGCATAATAGCTTGCTAAGAAAAGTCAATTAAAATACTTCTAACTTATTTTTTTGAACTTCCACCACAAACAGGTAAATAATTAGCAATAAATAAACTCCTAAATCAATATAAGCCTACTAGACCCCTGCCCCCCCCCCCACAGATTTTTTTTTACTGTAGGTCAAAAAAGCTGAGGTGCAAGGCTACTGATTGTGATGCTGAGACACATTTGCCAGCATATGGTTAGGGTAAGCATTTGATTAAAGCAAGCTTTTACAGTGATGTCATTCAGTAATGTTAACTCTGTGCCAGTTAAGTATGACTTAAGCTAACAGTACCTTGGGCTGCAGATTAGAAGCAATCATAAGATTACACCTTAAATCATTTTTATATGCAATAATTATCACAGACATTAGCAAATATCTTACACAAAAAAATAATAAAATTTTATGAATAATATTAAACTTATGCATATAATTTACCTTACGTAGAAGATTTTTAAAAATAATTTCAGTTGAATGTACAAGTCCAAAGACAAGAAAGCTGCTTGTGTGTGTTAGACCATGTAATATATAAACATAAACCAGCTGTTGTACTGTTCTGATGGTGTGATAACGTTTTTCATTGTAATAGCAAGCATGTGTCAGAAAATGCTATTAATTTGAATGGGTTATTGACTAACTAATACAGGTATTATTAATCTTTTCTTTTGTTCTTCATCAGATGGGGATGGCTTAAACTAAAATAATGATTTTGTTTTAAAATCTTGAGGAAATTCACGGACATATCAAAAAGAAAATATATGGGAAAAACCAATAAGCCTTAAAACATAGCTATAGAAAAAAACTATTAAAAAATATTAGGCCTAATAGGTATGCAAGCTACAAATCTATTTTTAGTAAAGGGAATGTGCAAAGTACTGCATGTGAAGAGTAGCAGTAGTTATACTTCACTTGATTCACTTAGTCAATGGCTTTGATACCAATCCAGAGTTAAGTGGTATAAGACAGGTTACTAAAGCAATAGTAAGCGAAATCATGTGGTGTTGAATGGAAAAACAAACCATCTGAATAACTAAATTTTTCATATGTTTGTCTAGTAAAATACACTTAAATACCCTCTTTCCAGCCTTTCTAAAAGAAAATTTGGAATTCTCAGAAGCCATTTTGAGCTTGCATACCAAATAGAAAGGTGCCCGGTAAATGAGTTGGTTGGAGAGGATTTTTGGCTGGATGGAGGGATTAAAGTAATGTGTTCTTGTTTCTTTTTTTTAAACATATTTGTTTGGCAGTTTAGTTCAAGAGAATTTTGTTTGCAGGCTTTACAAAGTTTTGTGGTGATTTTAAAAAAAAAATATGGCTGAATTAGTTTTATTTTGCTAAATATGCTTCAATGCTTATTACTTATATAATTAAAACAATAAATTTTTATTGTACAGCTGTTATTTATAATTTTTGTGTCCAACACGCTGGGTAAAATGGAGCTGAAGATAAGATAATTACAAGTTAAATATTATATAAAACTGTTGATGCTTTCCACCAAAACATTGATTGCTTTTAAAGGTAGTCCACTGATCTTTCATACCAAAACAATATCCATCATTAACAATTACCATTAGTAACGCCAGCATATTGCATCAGTCACACTGATATTTAAAACACGTCAAATAATTTTTTAAGTGTTAAAGAAAAAAATCCTGTTCATTTGTGTCACTTTAGCGAATGACGAAATCTGCATCATTATTTACAGGATGCTATTTGGCCGATGGCGCCTGTTAGTTTTACTGAACCAGAGGTCGTACGCCGCGCCTATGCGGTAGTGTAATCGGGGGGTGGGGGCCGTGAGAGCGCCCCTCTACGTCTCTGACACAGACGCGGTCACCGAAGTGTGTTCTACCATATTATTTCGGTGAGTGATTAATGTACACTCAATGTTTTCATGCGGTAGTGTAGGTAAACCCGTGTCCTGATATTTATGATCCAAGAACAGGCATTGTTTACATTTAAATAACTCATTTTTAGAAAAGAATGTCACGCGTCTAAGAACATTAATTATAATTGATAACGCGTTGGTGAAATCCTAATATATTTTGTCAGACTTTCTTCTATCCCCGCGGCAACGCGCGGGGGTCGGGTACGCTAGTATAATTATATAATCTAATATATAAAGCTCAATTCTGTAACGCATATGTTTGTCGTTGGTCTTGGATGGATTAAAGTGTTATAATATTATCGTGCGCATTTCTCTAAATTTATGAGTTAAAAAATTACTATTGAAAGTGTTGGGAAATAATTTTCATTTTTCAAATTATAGTAATAATTGTCGGCATGTTCATTAAACACAAGTTTTAAAAAAATATCATCTTTTACAACAATTCTAATTATGTCTTTATTAGTCCTATAGCACTTACTTCCCTTTGATAAATTAGGAAAACACAATTACTTCCCTTTATAAAACCATTGCATTTTGTGGAAAATAATTTACTTTTTAATTACTTTGTTTTGGTGTTGGGAAAAAAAATAATTACATAATTAGCGGGGATTGATCAAGTGCAAATGTTGTAGGTATTTTACGGATAAGCTTGGAGTATTAAAATTGTTCATTAAATTGAAACAGGCGCGTTCGTTTAAGTGAGTGCAAAAGACTATGAATAAGTTAGGGTACTATAGTCGTTCATTAAGCTAAAACAGGTGATTCCGCCCGGGCGTTTATGTTCGCGTTAGTGTTTTCTTTGTGTTTAGGTGGGTTTGCGTTAGTGGTTGCGTTTTGATTTGGTTCGTTTTTGTTCTTTCTTTTTCCGTTTTTGTTTGTGTTTTTTTGTTTGGGTTTGTTTTTGTGTTTTTGGTTGGTTTTGCGTTTGGATTTGGTTTGTTTTCGTTTGCTTTTCGTTGTTTTTTTTTTTGTTGGTATTGGTGTTTGTGGTTGGGTTTGTTGTTAGGTTTTTGTTTTCGTTTGCTTTTTTGTTTGTTTTTTCTTTGTGTTTGTATTGCTGTTTGTGGTTGTGGTTGGGTTTGTTGTTAGGTTTTTGTTTTCGTTTGTATTTGTAATTGTGTTAGCGTTATGTTTGCGTTTTGTTGTTTTGGTTGGTTGTGGTTTGGGTGGGCAATGCCGGGTTTATGATGATTACTAAACACACAGGTAATGGTCTTTAACAGAAAGGTTTTTCACAGAAGCCAGAGCAGGGCCTGGCCGGGACGGCTAGTTATACAATATACATAGATTTATGGAAAATTATAACCCATTTTTAAATACACAAAAATTATCATTCTAAGCCAAGTAATTTTAAATGAATTTTTTTTCAAAGTTATGTGTTTAACAGATTGTTTCATTGTAAATTGCATTCGAGAGTTGCGATTGGCTTTAAAGTTGCATACCAATGTTGCCAGTATAGATATAATGATAAAACTTTGCACATTTGTGCTCAAGGATATAGGCAATAGAAGCCTGCTAATAGAATAACAATTAGAAAAAAAGATAACTAGAAATAATGAAGTCAAATTAAGGGGTGTGGCACTGTTCTATAGTGACTGCCATAAGAGGATTTCCAGACTGCACAGCTAGGTTGCTATTCCATATACCATCATGAAACTTTAGATATTAGGACTAGAGAATGTAAAAAATACAAACATGCAAGTAAAATAAGCATAGCTAGAAGAAATCTAAAAATAGTGAACTCGAATAATGGTACAGCGCAATTACTATTAGACTATTATGATTAACTACAGGCTAATTAAATATAAAGTACTTCTTTGTTGCTACTATAAAAATAATGATTAAACTTTACATATTGATTCTGGTGTGAGGAATAAGAAAGCTAGTATACATATTACAGGTAATGTATTAAGTTGGAACCTACAAATACAGCACAGTGATCGAGATACTTAACGATATGCCATGAACTTTGCATTTGTGTCACTGTATGACATGGTAAGCATGCTTTTAATTTAAAACATTTTGGTTCTTGTAATGTTTCTGAAACAAAGTGTTGAGATGTGCTAAAACTCAAAGATTGACATTTCACAGTATTCTTATTTATAAAATGTTTACTGAAGTTGACTTATTCTTTGATAAATTCTTAAAACCTCATTACTTAAAGTGTTCATGTTTCTGTGTTGAACTTCTTTCCACTATAGTTGCTTATAAATAAAAATGTATAAACTGTATATTCCTTCGTGCTTAAAAGGAAGTGGCTATTCGGACCTGGGCCCTAATAGATCGGCCACTATTAGGACCCGGGTCCCTATAGCCATGGCCGCTATTCGAACCCAGAATTAAGTTCGTTACACACTCGTACAACCGGTAATAAAATGATACCTTTTATGTTTATTTGATGTTTATTTGATTTTTCTTGTGGATTTGCTAGTATTTTGTTGTGCTTTGTTGTGTTAGTTCTTGTCTTGCTATTACATTTTTATAACATATCGTAAAATGTCGTGACCGAGTTGAGAACGCAGTGCATCCCGCATCTCGATCAGTTACGGGATCGGAAACGATCCACACTTTTGTTTTTGCGAAAAGTAATGTGGATTTAACTAAGATTAATGTTCAATCTCGTTGGCTGAGTTGTTTGGATAGTTTTCATTTTTTTAAATGTTTTTTTTTAATAGTAAATATATTTTTTTAGGTTTAGGTTTTTAAACATGCCAATTATAAACATCATTGCTCCACTGATCACCCGCTCACGTTTTCTCGCCAGTGCGAGAAAAATAACGACACTGTCTAGCTAGGGTCACTGTGAGTTCAGATTGGTTTAGATGTTAATAGTGTAGGCGTATTGCATACGTCATAGCAAGAACATTGCTATCTGAGCTTGTCGAGATTTGTCGTCATCGTAGTCTTCCCCCCCCCCCCAACCCAGCAAGAGGGAAAACGGATTTGGGGTCATTGTGAGTTGAAATGTTACATATTGCTTCAATTAATAAAGCGTACTACAACGCATGCAAGATATTGTTCAAGAAAATGGGCCTGGGAGCTGTAAACTGTAGCCTATAATAAGCTATTTTATTTTTTATTGTATTTGGACTGATAGGCCTATGAAATCAAATTACGTTTAACAGAAGAAAAAAAAATAAAACACAATTTATATGTGGGCTCAACATTCGCTCGGTCAGATAAGTTCATACCATACATAAGCCATATATTATAGAGACCTAACAACTCACGCTCGCCATAACATTTGTCAGGAATGATATCGGGTATTTAAAGCAAGATCTCAATATATCATTTAGAATTAAAAGAAAAAAAATCACAACAATAGAAAAAATATATTCTGCATCTTAAAAGAATTATTGTATAACTAAATTTTAACAATTTTATTGACTGGTCCGAATAGCGACCGAGGCTATTAGGACCCGGGTCCGAATGGATGCATCCTGCTTAAAAACCCTTAAAATCAACATTTCTATTTATCAAAATGGTTGGAATGTTATTAAATTCTTTTGCCATGCAATTAGATGCTTATTTTATATCTGAAATTTAGTTGTCAATGCGCCATCTCGGTAGCGTCATGATTTAGACAAATATTTGCTATTATCGTTGATCGCTTTCGGTATCGAGACAACGTAAAAAACTAGTCTAGATCTAGAATCTAGTTCTAGAGATTTAGTTTATTTTAGTATTTTAGTAGTCTAGTGATCTAGAATTCTAGATCTAGACCTCTAGGTCTACTAACTAGAGTCTAGTACTACTAGAGGAGTTTACACTTTTCGGACACACACCAAAAATTACGTAGGACCGAACACTTCGTCGGTTTTTGGCTCATAGAAACTTTAATTAGCATGTCTCACGCGAAACCACGGCGCCTGCACGTAAACTGTTCATTTATGAACACTTCCGTGTCAAGTACTTCCGTTTCCTTTCTCAAGAATTATTTTTAGAAATTTTTTAACGTTGCATGGTACGCACATTTCTATTTTTACACCAGCCGGATGAAGTGACCTAGGGTTGGACTTAGGGGCAAAACTTGAACCAATCACTGCTTAGCTAAAAGGTTACACTATAAATAGCTTCTATATATGTATGGAACATCGTAAATGTCAAGGTTAATGGGTTTTTTCGTGCTTGAACAATAAAAAAGGGGTGTTCGCTAACTTATTTGGCCTTACATGGGATCGGACAGCAACACAAAAATATTATTAAATAAGAATTTAGAGCATAAAAGGGGCTGGTTATTGAAGGGAAAGGGTCAAAATAAGGTCAAGAAGGCAGTGGAATGCAAAAGAGGAGGGGGAATCATGTGACCTGGCTGGCTTAGCAGCGTACTGCGCGAGCCGCAATGGCTGAATGGGATGAACTTTGGGAGTGTGGGAAAAAGGTTTTATACTATTAAAATTACCTCACAAACAATCAATAACACAATATAAATGCATATAATATATGTTTTTATTCATTAAATTGACTTTAAATTATTCTAAATGAACAAAAAGTGCTATGTCCGATGACGGGTAAAGGTGTCCGAACACATGTAAAACTGTATTACATGTGTTCGAACACACGTTAAGACCCCCCAGTCACTATAACAAGAATAGCTTAAGTTCTATGCGTATGAATACAAAATGACACACACATTATTAAAGTAGAATGGTTGCGGATAGATATGATACTTTTTTTTGTTTTCTATGTTAAGCGGTTACTGAATGAGACCGCATGGAATTTTTACGTTGCGTTTTTTCGCTATGTGTGTCCAAAAAGTGTAAGCTCCTCTAACTACTAATCAGTGGAATGACATCTAGATCTAGTACTAGAGTACAGTAACAACAGAGTACTACTACTACTAGATCTAGGGCTAATGAATTTGAATATTTTTAAAGATCTGGCTGGATCATTGAAATCATTCATTTACAAATTTTACGATTTCGGATTTACGAATCATTTTAAGATTTTAAGAGAATCTTCTAGGCCTACTACTTTTAAAATTATTAAATGAAGAATGATCTAGCTCAAGTTGTATTATTTTTCTCAAATACTTTATGAACAAAATTTAAAACTTGTAGACTCTAGATCTAAACAATCCGCTGGTTTACCTCAAACAAAACTGTAGTGTTGGAGTAGCACTGATTCTGACTGAGGCTAGTCTAGTTTCTGTTCCGATTGTGAAGTAAAATCAATAACAGCAACGAGCCATATGATAACAGTCTACTTTTTAATCTTATCTGAATCTAGAGATACTTTTAAATATATAATAAAAAGCCTAAACTATATATTCTGTTTTTAATTCATTGATAAAAAATAAGAAAATTGATTCAATTACTTTATTTACGTAATTAAAGGGAAGTAGTATGTACTTAATTATTATGTATTTTTATTAAATTTAGTTTTCTAATAACAATAGCATTAGTGCTGTTGAGTTGATTTTACTTAGACAAAGTTTTTGTCTAGGCCGCACAAATACTATTTGAACGAGACTTTTTAATGTTTGTAGAATAGAATACGCACTAAGTTAACTAGATTCTAGATCTGGACACTTTTTTTTTTATTTATAAAGAAGTAGTTCTATTAATTTGGTAAACGGAAAAAAGTCACAGGAAAAAAAAACACAGAAAAAAGTCACAGTTTTTGCTAGGAAAAAAAGTCACAGAAAAAAAGTCACAGTGGAAAAATTTTATCGGAAAAAAAGTCACAGAAATAAAGTCACAGAAAAAAAGTCACAAAAATATTTTTAGAAATCTTTTTATTAATTTGTTAAGAATTGTAAATTTTGTATGTTTATTGTTGTGGGTTGTATTTTTTATAGCATAAATTATTTATAGACGTTAAAAGCATTATGATTTATAACAATTGTAAGTAAAAATACTCTAAGATAATTAACATAACAATAACAATCTCAACTTTTGTTACGTATTTAGTTAAATACGCGGTAGAAAAGTTAATTATAAAAGAAATTTAGGCACATTTTGCTGTAGTCTATTCTCTGGTCGGCCTCTCCTCAGTAGGCATTGTCCGAACATATTTGTGTTGTTGACGTTATGCGTCAATGACAGCCTTTGAACCTTGTCGGCTTTCTGTTTTGATCCTAAGTTTTGTTATGTAATGAGCGTGATTAATGTGGGCAGTAAAGGTGGTTGAACTAAACATAACTATTGTTGCCATGAGTTGAGGGCAGTAATTCAGATGACCTTACCATTTCACGGTAATGTAATTTAAAAAAAACACGATGAAAACTGTGGACATTCTATTAAATGCTATAAATATTATGTTTAACATAATTACAATCTACATAATTCATACTAAATATTTTTAGATGAATTATAAAAATTACTAGGCGTATACAACCTACACACATTACATTACATTTAATTAATCCTAAGTTAATTTGCACTCTCTGAATATTTAATACATAATAGTATTAACAAATTCCATGCAAATATATATTTGTGACTTTTTTCCTGTGACTTTTTTCCTGTGACTTTTTTTCCTGTGACTTTTTTTCTGTGTTTTTTTTCCTGTGTTTTTTTTTTTTCCTGTGACTTTTTTTCCTACAATCATTAATTTCATTTAATAAGTGCAACATTTATTTAAATTGTATTAGATCAATGTAATTATATAATATATGGCAACTAACACGTCCAAGCTCAACGGCCAACGCAAGTGCTGTTAAATTCAGTTCAGTTTAGAATCTAGATTTAGAAAAAGTCTAGATTTAGTTCAAAGAGAAAATAACGCTTCGAATACACTTTTGTTGATCAGAACACGAAAGCTTAATGGTGAAAGACCTAGTTAAGCTAATTTTAACTTCGACCACTGAAGTTAACTGGAAGTTTCCACTTTTTGTAGGCCTACAACTCCAGGTCTTTAAAGTTTTTAGGCCTAGGCCTTAGGCTAATGATTAAATAGATCTATTTAATACCCTGGCCTAGATCTAGATCTAGAAAATTTAGGTAGATATAGAATCTAGAGATTCTACATCTCACATCTCTTCTCTAGATTCTAAGTCTAGTCAGATGTGGACTAAATCTTGCTACTATTGAACTAAAATCCTAGAATCCAGATCTCTTCTAGAAGTAGAAATTAGAGGGCTTTGGCTTAGGCGTATGGGCTTAACTAACTGACTGAGTTAACTCACTCCAACTCTGCTGGAAGTCCAGACTACAACTAAAATTCTAGATTAGATTAGATCCATTCCAATAATTCCATACTAGATCTACTTACTAAGTAATTTATAGTAACTAGTAACTATTTGCTATCTAATAGTTTAAAGTTTAAATATAGAATCTAGCCTTTTCTAGGCCTAGATCATATATCTTCATACACAAACAAATCTATAACAAACTCCAAGTCATACATTACCTGGTAATTTTAGTTAGTACATTACATTATTTATTACACTACATCATTACAAGTAAAACAAGACATGCTCTCTCGGACCTGAAGTTCTACAAGGCAGATGAATTAGAGTTAAGCTTCTGTGACCCTGGCATATAAATTATAAAGGGATGGTTAGTTCCATTTATGCCCAGCCGACTTTACTTTCCCTAATGTAAGTCTAGTACTAATCAGAGATGGGTGGACTAATGGACGTCGTATAGACTAATCTACTTGATTTTTTGTTATTATTTATTAAAGTCTTTATACTTGCTATTGATATCAAAAGTTTGATACCTAAAAATAGAGTAATTCCTAATACAAATCAGGAGCACCAAACAATCACAGAACATTTTTAAAATTGATACAAAACACTTGTGGGATAATGTGGTTGGATGATAAAGCATATTACTACTAACCTGAGTTGGGATCCTGGGTTTGTGTCAGTCGAACATCAGTGAGTCCACCCAGCTCTGATAGGTACCAAACTTACGTTATGGAAAGTAAAGGCAGCTGGGCATAGTGCTTAATACATTTCTTTCTATGCTGAGGTCACTGAAACAGGTGAAATTGACTTCTTGTGCCCCATGGACTGTCAGATTTACTTGCTTTTACTTACAAAACATTTAGGCCTACCCAACTAAAACTGTTGATTTCAAATTATAAAAAAAATCCTGGTACCCCAATGTCCAATAGCTTCTAAGATCAGAATTTCTCAAGTTTTACTTTCCAGGGTTAAGCACCCATAAGAGCTGGGTGTTCTTGTGAACCAATCTTTCAGCTTTTGAGTTAGTGATCATGAGCTGAACCACACTTACCTTTGTTTAACTTCTTCTTAGATAAGAAATGAGTGGCTACAAAAGAAAACACGAAGATGATAACCAACTTCCTATACCCCCAAGATGGCTTCACTGTCCTCGTAAGGGTCAGCTCATACAAGGTAAATATAAATAACCCTGTTAATATTATGAGATACTAATTATTTGAACTAGCCTCTATTGACTCTATGTCTAATAGATAATTAACGAATTGTCATGATTATTTGTACATCTCTTATCACTGACAGAAACAAAGTGAAGTTTTGTTTTGCTGGAAATCAGGCATACTTGAAAAAAAAAATTAAAAAGCTAGAATGGATACGGTATTATTCTCCAAGTAGTCATAGAAAACTGTTATCCTGTGTAAAAAAAAATCAAAACCCTTGTAGGTTATGTATTAATAAAGGATGGATTATATTAGAATAGATTCTATGTACTGATATTTAGCTAATGCTTAAATAATAAAATGTGCCATGACCATATAATAGATGTTCAGGTGTGACAGCCTTAAACATTACATGAAAGAAAATTTATCACAAAACTCTTTCCAAAAATTGGCCTTATGTTGAATTTCATCTCTTAAATTAGGACTGGCTCTGTCCCTCGTTTATTCATAAGTGGTTGTAAACAAAGTATTATTTTTAAATAGGCCTATATTTTGTTTTATTTTCCAGATAAATTTCTACCCTTGAAGACTCCCCTTGATTCCAGATATGATCCACAAGTCCCTGAAGAATGTAGATTTAACATAGATATGCTGCTGAACTCTTTGAAGGTCTCTAAGGTTAGTTTTATGACACATGGGAGTCATATTCCCAACTACAACTAAACTGGCATGATCTAAGTTTTAAATATTATTGTTGATAATAAATGCAAATGTTTTAACCATTTTGAAACATGTTAACTCCAGTTTAAAACATCTTTAGTTTTGAAATTCCTAGTACTAGATAAGCTAAAATCATCAGTGGTGCTAATGAAATATTTGTAATTATTTTACGTTTGTTTTTTTTTTACAAATGTTATATTGATTTCACCAACAGAAAAAAATAGGATTGTTTGTTAATCTGTGCAACACTGACAGATTCTACAATAAACAGGAAATAGAAACCAAAGAAGGTGGCTGTTGTGTCACAACTCTTAGATGTAAAGGGTATGTTGTTGTTTTTTTTTTAAGTTTAATTCCAGCCTTGACTGTATTTTGTGACCTGGGCTTTTCTTCATTCTTTTCACTTAGGTCAATAGTGATGTGGGTAGGTTTGTGGGTCAATTCTTGTAACTCAATTTCATTTTCAATGCTGTAATTTTGTTCAAACTTTTCAGATTTAATTAGTTTCCATTGACAACACTAGAATATCTAGTTTTCAATTTAATTAACTATTAGTGATAATTGTTTTTTAATTACCTTAAAGATTACTATATTCAATAACTAAAGGGGAGATTATGCTCAATCAGTCAAGTGACTGGTTTGGTTGTGTTCACTGATGTTTCATACTTGAGTGTAGATTTTAAAATTAAATGTGTGAGAAATTTTGTTTTTTTTTTCTTATTAACTCACATTACTTGTTTCTTAATTATGTCTAAGTTAATTAAACATCTGCACAAGTGTAAACTATCTTGTGTTTTGTGTTTTCTATCATACTCAAAATGTATTTCTATATTCTCTTTAGTCGCTCAGAAGCCCCTACAGAGGAACAGACAGAAGCGTTTATAGGGTTGTGTGAAAAGTTTATTAGCAAAAAACCTCTAGAGATAATAGGTAAGTGTGGGTATAAAATCCCTATCCTAATTTTAATTTTTAGAAGGAAATAAATAAAATTATTGAGTTAATTATTTTTATATACAAAGGGCAAAAATATTTGTTTTACAGGAGTCCACTGTACACACGGCTTCAACAGAACAGGCTTTCTCATAGTTGCTTACCTTGTTGAAAAACTGTCCTGGAGGTTGGTGAACTTTTGTCATCTTAATGATTTCTTTCTTAAGACATTAATACAATAAACACATAGGCATGCATTGAATTTTTAAATTGAAAATAATTGTTTATAGTATTGATATTTTTAAAATTATTCATAAAACTTCTTAATTTTTTATTGCATCATTTAACTAGAAATTAAATATTTTTCTTTTACAGCTTGGATGCAGCTATCAGACAATTTGCTCAGGTAATTAAAGCATTTGGAATATCTTGATTTTTATGAAGTCCCAATATTTCATATTCCTCTCTCAGATTTATTGTATTTTTACTTAATAGATCATGAGATAATGACAAATAAATATAATGATTTCATAGTATTAATTTTACAATGACACCATATTTAGCATTATAGAAGCTTTTGGGATTCAAATTCATATTACATTGAGCCATCTCTGTGACCATAGCATTCAAAGTAAATACATGGCAATAACATGCCCAGCTGCTGTGTTACCAGTGTTAACCCTACATTGCCTGGGGTGACTTTTTTTTAAATGCTGTTCCTATAGTGTTGCTTATAAAATCAAACATTGAGTCGATCCAGCACTGATGGAGTTAAACTTGTTAAGTGATTCTAGTTTCAATATAAATGAATGTACATCTGAGCAGAAATAACTTTACAATCTGCACATCATTAGTTGATGTTATGATTAAGATCACAAACATTGTTCAGGCAATATACCAAGGCTGATCAGTCTTAATGAATATGATAACTTTAGGGAGGCATATGCATTGGGTATTAATATAAAAAAAGCATAGTGTTGCCTTAAAATGTTACAATGTTTCTAACTTAGACTATTAATATTGTAAAACTATTCAGTACTTTATAAATTTTTGGGTTGTAATGTCCATGATTATTGTAATTAAATTGAAAGTCACTTTGTGTTTTGTATATAAATTTTTTACTGTAACCTAGCCATTCAAGATGAATTCTTATCTTTGTGTCTTCAGGCAAGGCCACCTGGCATTTATAAACAAGATTATCTGGATGAGCTGTTCCGGCGTTATGGTGATGGTGACCCTGAGGAAAGACCTCAAGCACCTGCATTACCTTCATGGTGTACAGGTACATCGTCCATTAACAACCATACCTGAAGTTATTTATAGAGTTCAGGTTTAGGAGATGAACAACCATACATGAAGTTATTTATAGCATTCAGGTTTAAGAGAATATTCTATTTTGGGGGATGATATGCTTATTTTGTTCTCTGTATTTTTATTTTTTTGTTGAGTCAGTAAAAATGTTTTACCTCAACCTGTTATTTGTCAACTTTGTTTAAATATGTCATCGTTTTATTTTATTACTGAGAAGTAAATTGAAGAATGTGTTTAAAAAAAAATTTGAAATATTTTGGTTTTTAGAGAGTGATGACACAGAAGTTGATGATGATGGTAAAGCTGTAAATGGTGCTGGTGGAGGAGGTGGTAAACGGAAACGAGAATTTGCCAAAAAGGTAAATGCAGAAGATTTATCATTTATGCTAAATTAAATAGTAAATTTAAAGATAATTGCAAATATTCAGAATGGATTATTTTTTTATTAACTGCATTCCCATTCCACATTTTAAATCAGATTTCTGTAATATATTTGAAGATAATTACAAACATTCAAAATGGTTTCACTCTTCAGTAACTGGATTATGTATCACATTTTAAGCAAAATTTTTCCTGTTATACTCTTAACCTCTCAAATTTTAGGATGCCAAATTCATGGAAGGTGTTAAAGGTGTATTTCAGATCACTACTCAGCCCAGGTTGTCCCACATACAAAGGAAATGTCAGTCCATGGCTGGCTGGAAAAGGTAGATTACTCTAAACTGTAGTAGATCACTATAAACTAGAGTTAATGAGATGTGTGTACTTTAATAAAAGACATGGCTCTAAATGAAGTGGTAATTTTTATTTTACTTTTTTATTCCAGCTCAGGCTTTCCGGGGTCTCAGCCAGTGTCTATGGATATCCAAAATTTATCTAATCTCAAACATAAGCCTTATAAGGTCAGCTGGAAAGCTGATGGAACAAGGTATCGCATTTTTTTTTTCACCTGTTGGGTTAGCCTTACCAAATTTAAGTACTGCTTATGTGCTTGTAGTGATACTTGATCCTCTAATCTGAACAGTATTGAGTTTAAGTTCCTGTAATTGTTTAGCTGATGACTTTTTAAAATAAAAAAATCAATTCATTTTTAATAAATTTGATTGGGCTTCTAAAACCTTTGATTTAACTCAGTAGATTGCTTGTGTTTTTTTAACGTCCATTTTCAAATGTAATGTCTTATTTCATCCATTAGGTATATGATGTTGGTGGATGGAAAAGATGAGGTCTATATGATAGACAGAGATAATTGTGTTTTCCATGTGCCCCATCTGAATTTCTATAAAAGAAAAGACTTGAATTCTTACTTAGGGGACACACTTTTAGATGGGGTAAGTATTTGATCTGATTTTTATAGAATTTGAATATACAGATTGGTATTGCAGGAAAGCATGTTTAATTTATATGTATACCAAAGTTATCATGTTTAATTAAAATTTAGCTTGTTAGCTAGAATTGTTTTTTTTTTAGTATACTTTTCATAAAAATACTATTCCTGCATTTTGTTAGTGTTAGATAACCTTCAACTTTCATGTTTTTGATAATTAAATAAATATAATTAACTATTTATTTTTACATAGGAGTTGATTATTGATAAAGTGGATGGCAAGGATATACCAAGATATTTAGTTTATGATATAATCAAGTTTGAGGTTAGTGACTAGTTTTGTAAAATAATTTGTATTCTGGTGACAAGTCTGTAGAACCTACTCAGATAGATAATGCATCTTCTGCAGTTATTTTAAACCATTAGGTCTATTGTGTTTTTTATTATTTCCATTATTGCAGATACCTTCTTTGTATCAGTCCATATCATTGCAGCATCCTTCATATCTATGCCTGATCTTTTCCAAATCATTTGGTTTTACTTTTTTAACTTTGTCTAATCCTTTGTTTAGCAATGTGAAATTTTCTAAATGGATATTCTAACCATATTTATTTTCTCTCTGTTTTTAATATAATTTTGAAATGGACTAAAGGAATAGCAATATTTGATTTATAAAGATCGTTATGCTAACAGCCTTTTTGTGTGTATTAAACATAAGGGTGATTCATCTAAACCTAGGTTATTTGTATTTTACTAAGCTTGGAATTTAAACATAACAAAGCTTTTCAATGATTACAAATAATACATCACAGGGTTTGGATGTGGGTAAAACAGACTTCGACCGTCGTATGCTGTGTATAGAGAAAGAAATTATAGGACCCAGGTACACGAAGATGCAACAAGGGACTTTAGACAAATCCAAGGAACCCTTCAGTGTTCGCATCAAAAATTTTTATGACATTACTATGTGTAGAAAGGTTTGTTATATTTTAAATGTTAATCTAATGCACTCCTCAATGTAATAACCACTAATGCCCCTTTTATTTCTTGCTGTAAATTTCAATTATTTTATACCCCAATAGTATCTGAGGTGAATTAATCCCTATAAAACTTAATTTTTTTCCTCCCTGAAAGCTTTTTTATTAGCTATCCTTAGTTTCAGCATATTTTTTAAATTAATAAACTAAGCTTGATTGTTTCGTGATATATTTTTTTTTCTGTCTTGTGTTACAATGTAAACTTTTGTTGTCAGATTCTTGATGGTAATTTTTCTAAAACATTAAGCCATGAAGTTGATGGGCTTATTTTTCAACCTAGTGCTGATGTGAGTGTTAAAAATAGCTTTTGCATTTTGTATGTATTTTATTGCATTTATATTGTTTTAAAATTTTAAAATTTGTTTTTTAGTACAAAATTAAACTAAAGAAAAGCAGCTTTAGTATATTTTCATGCTTTGATTGTATAAAATGTATTATTATAGACCTTAAGGTTACTGTTCAATTTTGCATGGGATTTTTTAGCCCTACATATGTGGAAGATGCCAAGATATTTTAAAATGGAAGCCACCTGCTCTAAACTCAGTTGATTTTAAGCTGAAGATTCAGAGGGTTGAAAGGGTGGGGTAAGAATCTGCTTATTCACACTTCTGTTAGCACTGCATATTTGGATTATATATCTATTGCAATGTTTCCTCAATTATTCTGCTACTTAACTATTAATTTTAAAAGTACAGGTAATGAAAGTTAACATTTATGTTTATACCAAAACTTAACTTAAGCTGGATTAAAATTAAAAAAGGTCCAGGCTCAATGTCTAATCTTTGTTTTTCATAGAATGTTACCTGAAACAAAAGGACTTTTATATGTCGGGCAGTTAGAGGCACCATTTGCTGAAATGAAGGTAGGACAGCAGAGCCAATCTGTAGATAATTTAGAACTTTAAATATCTCTTATAAAATTGTCTTCATTTGTTCCATAAATAAATTTATACATACACATATATATATATATATATATATATATATATATATATATATATATATATATATATATATATATATATATATATATATATATACATTTAATACATTTATGGTTCTAGTACATTACTCCAGCTTCCAGTCAATATCTCCCTGCTGTTATCCCCTAGTACAGTAGCACCCCTACTGCGAATTACACCCTCATGTTAATCAACCCCGAATACCTAGTATACGTTAGCAGAAAATTTAGAAACCAGGTATTGTAATGGGCTAACATAGTACGAAATAAATTGTACTTCGTACTTTACCTTGGTATTGAAAAGAATACTAATCAGGGAAACTAGCCATGCAAAAAAAGCATTTACCCTCCTGAAAATAACCTAAGCTATCTCCATCCAAGCTTAACTCTTTCCGTAAACATAACCTTTAGATAAAGATTACGCTTTTTGTTAGGATTAAGGTCAATTTTTAATGTCCTACTCCAGTTTTTTTTATATATGTATTTTTGCAAGATTAATTTTAGTGGACTTCATGGAGTTTTTTTAATTTGTCTTACAGGTAACGAAGAATCTGAAACAATATGACAATAAAATAATTGAATGCACATTTGATGGACAATCCTGGCAGTTTATGCGAGAAAGAACAGACAAATCCTTTCCTAATAGCTACAACACTGCTATGGGTAAGAGAGGGCACACATGTTTCAGTGAATTTAGGTTTATTTAAAATTCCAGGAACTTAATTAAATCCGAAATCAGTGATCCTATATGAAATTTAAATGTGCCAGAAATTTTTTCTTTAGTTTTACAGATGTTTAGGTTAAGACACAGATATTGTTTTTAGGATGGTGTGTTAAGTAAATTGAATAATAATATTTTTTATTTTTGAAACTTCAATTCAATGTATTCCCTTGAAGTGTTTTGTTTATATAAACGACTTGAAAACTTTTTTTTTGATGGCCTTAAATTTGTATGTATCTAATAGGAGTCTGTGGGAGCATTAAAACACCAGTCACAAAAGATCTCTTACTGCAAGTGATAGAAAAAGACAGATGGCAGCCGGATGCTTCGAAGTTAATGCCTCCACCTGTTAGAAGACCTTAATAAATGTGATTTGTAATTTATTATAAAAAAAACAAGTGTAAATATTTTTAGAAGTCCAATACTTTGCCAGTCATCCTTAAAATTAGATTGTGTATATGCTGGTGCTAAATTCCATAAATTAATGCAAATTATTTGCCAGATTTAATTTCAACTGTTACATTGTTTTAGATAGATTCTGGTCGCAATAAGTTATCTTGGTATTCAAATCTTTGAAAGGTCGTATACACGATTTTATATTCTATCATGCAGGTTTGTTTTTTTTAAAAACAAAGTATTTAAATTGTGTGGAGATTTTACTAAAAAGTAGCTGATTAGATTTAATGATTACTGGCTTGGAATGATGCAGAACAAAATTAATTTTAAAAAATGGAACTTAAATTCATTTGCCATGAAAAATGTTTGTAGTATTAATTTATTGTAACAGAAGAAACTTATCTTTAACTAAAAAAGTAACATAACCTTTAATTTTATCTACTGCTTAGTTTATAGACACATGACTATATTTTATTGTTAAGGTAATGAGATAGTTACTTTGTTTATCATTCAGTCTCATTACCATAGCCCTACCATATCCACCTCAAACTGATTCCTGATGTATTTTAGAAAACTGCTACTGACACATTGTGTAAAAATATATATGGCCTTTGAAAACGTTTTTATGAATGCAGTATTATCTTTGTGCTCTCTGGCAATTACTTTAGTGTAACCAATACAATTAAAAAATATATTATTAATTTGGAAGTGCTCTTATATGCAAGACCATATAGCAAAATCTGTACTACTTTTTATATGGTAAACCTCTTAGTTTTAGTGTAATTTGTTCGGGTTTTTTAAATTTAAAAACAAATTTACATGTCTTTCATATGGACTTGTTTGCAAGAAGCAATCTATTGTAAATAAGCAAAATGTTTAGCAGTTATATGTAGAACTATTTTTATTTGTTTAAATAAGTCCTACAGCCTTCTTGGATTTGTAATTCTTATACATTAGCATTTTTAGTAAGCATTTTAAACTTGATTGTCAGTTAGAGTTATCTCTTCTAGCTGATTTCTTTCTTTTTTAGAAAAATTACTGATAAGCATGCAAGACAGAATGCTTCATTAGCCAAAAAACAATCCCATTTTATTATCCAGTAAATTAGATCTAGAGTTTTACAGCTCATTTTTTAAATATACAACAATAATAGAAGTCCATAATTAAGTAAAATATACTCTTTATTTTAGCTTTTTTTTTTTTTTTTTTTTTTTTTTTTAAATTTAACTCGGTAAACCTTAAAAAGTCCACTATTTTTTTTAAAAAGCATTCAAAAATTGAATAGTTTACAAATATTTTATTAAATTTAAATCCTCACTTTGGTGCTATTGAGTTGCCTATGCCTCAACCAAGGTGATTTCTAGTAGCCATCTTTTAAATTTTACTCGATATTGCGACAGTTGATGATTTGAATTAAGATTCACGTGCATTTAAAATAAGTTTGTACTGCCACTGAGTATTTGAGTTTAAGAGATGATTTTGACAGATGTAAATAAATGTGTGTGTTGCGATTCCAAATCTTTGACTTTGACATATAATTACAGGGTTTGAGTAAATGTGTAGGTTATGGTATAAATTTTGAATCACGACTAATAAAAACATACGGTATAATGATCTATATATTATTTTTTTTGTGATTCTAATATTTGTTGCATCTACTATACAAATGTTTCATTGCTAACTATTTGAATGAACACATTGTCTTTTGCATACCACATGTGCAATGCTGTACAGTATGATTCCAATTTGCATTATGTGAACTTTTAATTCAAACATAATCTTCAGGGCAGCGTAGTGCATTGCTTGTAGCAATATGAGTCAAAGAACCAAACTGAAAATGCTATCATATAAAAACAAATTTTCTAATTTATGTTATAAAATGATTTTTATTGCATGAAAAAATACATAAATATAAAGTGCATTCACTTATCACAATGTAATGTCTGTTCAAAGTGGTAAACATAGAGCTGTTAATCTTAATTTAACGTTTTCTAAACAATGAGTTTTCAAGATTTAGAATTTTTTTCTTTTTGAAATAAAATTTCATAGTATACAAACAACAAAAATAGCATCACACCTCTAATTCAGCTCTGACAAAATGATTCACGTCCAGACTAAATTATCATTCAAGAGAGAAAAAAACATACTTCATCATTCAAGAAAATAAAAACATACTTTCAAACCCTCTCAGTCAAAAAATACATTCATGCTTCTTCCTTTTTCCTCTGCTTAGTCTTTATTCCAGTCCGTCGGTATTCTGATCTTTCTTGCAAATATTCTTGTGTGCACAGTTCAACAAATTCTGGATCTTTGTAACTGAAAAAATTAATTTTAGGTAATTAGCAACAGCATTAGCTATGATAATGTTACATTTCTTGGGTAACACAAAAATATTAAAGTGATATTCAAGTAAAGTTTATGTGGTTTAACAATCTAGCTGTATTGCGAAATTTTGATAGTAATTGGTTGAATGATAAGGAATAATTGTGTATATATGTTGTTTTATGCAGAAATAGTAACGCTTCTTCTAAATGATTTTACTTACGCAGAGGAAAGGCAAACTTCCATGGCCTTAGCTTGACTTCTACATTTAAAAGGTAACAGTAGTCCATTTTCTTTTGCACATGTACCAAAATCTGAAGAAATAAGTAGAATCAAATCAAGTTAGACCTGCAGCCTAAGATAATTTTATTCTCAGTGGCGTTTGGTACCTAGTATCTCCAAATAAAGTTCAATAAATAAAAGTTGGAATTTGCAGATAAAATGCTTGAAATACGATAATAATACTCTAATTCTTTAAAAGATATCAACTACTGTTGTTAATAAGTAGAAAATAGCTTACTTCTGACTTCATCAGCACACCTCTCTTTTTTAGCTTTCAACTTCATTTTCTGTGGAATCATGATTTCTTTTTCAGCCTTTCTTAGAGTTTTGTCATCAGGATCCCCTGGAAATAATTTATTAAGGGATCATAAATGACATGAAGCTTTTAAAACACTTGTTAGTGTGTCCCTTTTATTGTCACATTCCTTCACCCCCTCCTCATTTCTGAATGCACTTCTACTATAAATATATATTATTTTTTTTTTAAATCCAGGTAATCTAGATTTTTTAAACCTCAATAAGTCCTAAATCTGTCTAATAGTTTTAAATCATTAGGCCTAATCACACAGTAAAATGAATAAGAATTCATAGTGAACTAGTAAAACTAGTATAAATTACATTTTATAATTTAAAAAATTGTAATAATTGTATAAAACTATGAATAGCTGTAGCATAATATGTAAATATAGGCTTAATTTAATATAAAAATAATAATAAACATTAATCTAGCGTAAATCATTCTGCTACATTAGACCTAATATAATGGGATCCGGACAAAAGGCTGACATCAACAAACGGCAGACAAGGACAAAAAGTCGACAAGATAAAAGGCTGAGGTAAAACTCCATTTTAGCGTATTTTATTCCCCCGCTTCACGTTCACCTCCAGTTGAGTTTATTTTATTATAAACACAACGTAACACACATAAACTTTAGGAAAACACTAGATCTACTTATTTTTTATGAATTTGATTTTAATTAGAAAATGTAAAAAAAAACATAAAAAAGCATTAGAACTGTTCCAATTAAATATGGTGTGATCATCAGCGGGAGAAAAATCCTTACACGGTCGAGGGTTCACCATGAGTTCACATTGACTTTATCAGCATATGTCATAGCTCGGGCAATAGCTGTTTGAAATTGTGTTGGCCTCAGTTTTGGGGTCATTGTAAGTTCATTAATGTTTATTTATAGTATCATGCCTGGGAGGTACTTGTAACAATACAAACTTAACCGCCTTGCAATTGTGAGTACGTACTTTACCCATTGCCATGAAAATTCTAACTGACACACGAACATAGATCTAGCACATTCAATATTCTAAATTTGGATTTTTCTCAAGTTTTGACAAAAGTAAATTATCAAAATCTAAAACAAAGTCAATCTCTTTGTTTTTTTTTATTCATTTGTTAAAACAAAAATACAATACAAATAAATAAATCGTGTTTTCCTAATGTTTGGGTGTGTTTCGGTTATTATAATAAAATACTCTCAACTGGAGGTAAACAAGCAACTGAGAATAAAATACGCTAAAATGGAGTTTTACCAAAGGCTGACATCAAAAAGGTTGACATCCAAAAGGTAGATGACATTAAGCCAACAAACCATAAGCGGACTAGATTGCACTGTAGTAGCTTTGTTACTTTCTGCCCCATGACTTTTGTCAACTTGCCCCACCTTCCCCTACCCACCTACAATGCTTTAAACATCCTACTATATATTTTATGTTTGTCTGCCTTATGGCTTATGGTTTGTCGGCTTATAATGGCTTATAATAATATAATTGTCTGTATGACTCTGCCTTTTTTTTTTTGTCAGCTTTTTGTATTGTCGTTCTTTTGGATGTCAGCCATTTGGCCTACACTTTTACACTAAAAACACCCTAATATAATAAATATTAAATAAACTGAAAACTGCTTTTCTTGTTTGTTTGTTTTTATTGTAAAAATTTCTAGATCTAGAATTTAGAGTAAAAATAGTTTAGATTTGATAGGAGCTACTTTGTACTTTCACTTTCGTCTTAAGTTAAGCAGCGTCCTGGCAGTTTTACTTCAAAATAATAATTCTTGAATTCGGCTTAATAAACTGTTACATAACATTTGAGATAAGATTCGTGTGTAGGCTATGAGATTTTGAAACACTACCTAATCCGTGGGGACCACCGCTGTATGTATCAGGTAATACATGAAATACTTCTTTCATTTCTGTTTTCAAGGTGGAAGCCATGTTTATTGCATTCTATATAGTATAGTAACAAAAATAATATAGTATCGACTACAAGATTAATTACAATTCTATTAAGAATAAAATTTGAAATTACTTTGAATTAATTAGATCTAAATCTAAATAGATCTAATATTCTAATGAAGGGAAAAATTAATAGATGTCAGTCACTAATATAAGTATAAGTATTTACTTTTCTAAATTATTTGAACGTGAAGTCAACATCGGCAATAATATCGTTCTGAATCTCTAATTATTAATAATCGACTATAGGCCAAGATATAAAATAATTTTCTTAACAAAAGAGCTGAAGTAACATTTTGCTTATAGTACCGATAACAACCGGAGTATTTCTTTTATTGTTTCTTTTCACGGTTGATTTCGTAGATTTGTCTAACTTGTACAATATGGCGTCTAAAGGAAAAATAAAAGGTTTAGTATTTATCCACTCCCCCCTTGCAACAAACAAAACAATACATACGTTAAAACAGCGATGGAATACAAAAGTTGTGTTTCCCTTCTGCCTTACTTATAATATAATTTTATTGTGTTGTGATAAACTTCTAGATATAAGTTAGGAGAGTATTTACCGTGTTTAAATACTAGATCTAGAAAATTAGAAATAATTCTTTCTCTTCTCTTTATATCTAGGAATCTAGATCTAGATCTAGAATCTAGATCTAGACTAGTTCTACCCCCAGTCCCCCACTCACTCTGCTGTGGGTCTGTCTGTTGTACTGGTGTACTCTCAGAGTGTCTCAGTACTCAGTTAACTCTCAGGCTGATTCCCTTACAAGTTACTTTACTCGCTGTACCTACCAACTATGAGGCACCAACTCTGTCTAGATCTAGAGTCTAGACTTATGTATACATGTGTTGTGTATTCTCAGTCACTGAGTCAGTCCATGACTGAGTGAGAACTGAGAATGGGTCAGATCAGATAGTCACTCAATCCAAATCAACTAACTTGACTTTCATTCTTATCTACTTATTAAGAATAGTTACTTCACAGTGATTACTTTTCTTTTAAACAAACATAACAGAACACCTTAATAAATATTAAATAATAATATAATTGTCCGAGTCAACTGTCTCTTAAGTGACTCTAGAGTCAGCTAGAGCCTTAGGGCATCCTACAGTTACAAATTAGATTTAGATCCCAAAATTCTGGGACTCTATGTAGTAAATCTAGATCAAGACTATATTTTAAATTTTAATACTCTAGTAAACTAGCAGTAGTTATAAACATTTCTATCTGATGGCACCATAATTTTCAATTAGATATTCAATGGCTTACACTAATGCGTACACCCACTACACTTTATACTTAGAGTCAAAAGTTTACTCAACTGGCCTACACATTTTAAAGTTAGCATTTCTATTTGATTAAGCTAACTTCTAGGGTAGGGGATAATTCCTTTAAACATGGAGGCCTTATAAAGCATATTCTTTTTTTTTGTGCTAATTATATCTTCATTGGTTGTTTTTTTTTTCCAGGTGTAACATAAAATATGTGTGGAAGAATGTATTGGCTATGGTATCTGAATCTATGAGGAAAAAAATTCAGTTACAAGATGCGCTAATTTAATATCTAGTAACTATGGCCAGCTGTATAGACTATGACCAGACTGCTGACGATCACCAATCAATATTGGTGTTAGTCAGACACACTGGCTCTCAGCTCCCTGTACAGAGTTTCAACAGAGCTTTTGAGAAGATATCACGGGTTGACAGAATATATGTGCAAGGGCAGAAACGGAATATTTCAGTTAAATATAAAAAGTATTACCCTGTAGAATCTAACTCCTGGGGAGATTTTCAAAGCCATCGCAAAGTCTTAGGCTTGGTGACTATAGGAAAATGCATTGACCATGATGAATTTGGAGACCTGTTTACCAGTTACAAATCAGTCAAAGAGGAGTATGCATCTAGTATTATAAATTCAAGGCTTATTGTTTTTGGAATGAACACGGATGGATCGCCCATTGATCAAGGTAAAGACAAGCATCTTAATGAGAAATCTGAAAAACACGAGCATCAAACCTCGGACAATGGCGATAGCAGTTTATCTTCAAACCAAAATTCAAATGCCACAAGAGTTGTGAGCCCTAGTATTCTAGAACCAGTGGTGGAACACTCTGAAGGGGATAATGAGGTCTTCACTTCCTCTGTGGAGTCTACTCACAGCAATACCTCAGAAACAACCACTGCTCATAAACATGAAGAAAGAAGACCCCATAGCAACAGTCTGACAAAGGAAAGCAGTGGTTCTGAAATTGTGTTTTATCCTAATTTAGAAACTTCTTTGGATCTTGAAGAAAGGATTAAAGAGTTCATAACCTCCCTGTATTATGTTCTGGAAGGGAAGCGGCTTGACAGATCATTTGAAAGAAATGACAAGCTTGTATTGTTATGTGCACCTTTTGAGAGAAAAGATTATGTTGGTGTAGATACAGACACCAAGTGAGTTTCATTTCTGTTCTTTTTTTTTATTCATTTTCATTTACTCACAACTTTAATTTTTAAAATGGATGTGCTGTTAATAGTGTCTTACAGGCCTAGTACATCAACCCTCACCATCAACAATTATCACCTCTGTTCATTTCCTTCCTCTTCCCCATCCTCACCCCCTCCTTATTACCCTAGAATCAATAACCCCCTCCATCCCTTTACTATAGAATACACATTATACCAGTGCCTAACCATAACACTATCCCTACTCCTATCCTTGTCCCTAATCATATCCCAAACCCCTCCCCACACCATAAATCGTATCCATATTCTTAACCATTTCTCTAACTTATCCATAACATATTGCTATTTCTATCTCTAAATAGTCAGGGCAGGGGGGGGGGGGGGAATAATATGCTACTTCAGTTTTTTATGCATTGGTATGGTAATTGACAGGGGGGGGGGGGGGTTAATGTTTTGCTTCCATTGTAAATATATAGATTTTTTATCTAATTCATAAGTTAGGTTTTAGATAATGTTTTACTAATCATCATTACGTATTAAGATTTACATTAGTTTAGTGTAGCTTGCTAGAGAAATAATAAATATATGGTTGATCTACAGATCCTTTAGAAAAAAATGTATGGGGCGCCTTCGAAAGCATTTGGGTGATCTCTGTCTACAAGCTGCAATGCCTGGAGAAGCAATACTTCATTACAATACAGCTCTGGATTTGCTGCGTTCAGTCAATGATTTCTTGTGGATGGGCGGTAAACTTGTTATACAATAGAGATATCAGTAGTAGTAGTAGTATATTTCTTGTGATACCACTGTTTCCTTTAATATTGTATTCAGATACCTTTATAAAATTAAATTCTTGCCATCAGCTTGCCTTGAGGGACTAGCCTGCTCCAGTGTTATTTTAGGCTACCCAAAAATGTCACCTATTGGCTTAAAGAGAAATTTGTCATTCCAAGTAAACAGTAGCTCTACCAGCCCTGAGGCCAAATCAAGAACAGGTAAATGTTTTTATTCACAACAAGGAATTTCGTCTTTTTAAAGCTATTTTTGTTATCATGATACAAGATAATTGGATTCAAAATTTATTCTATCAGTGATTTATTAAATTCGCAAATTAAAAAATGCATTTTGTAATTGTAAATTATATTTTTCTTAGGCTCAAGCTATTCAAATGGATTGGATATTATGACTGAAAGTACTTTACCAGCTGGGGCTAACATTGACGATGTTGTTGAGAAATATAAAGAGGCGATTACTCATTACAGCAAGGTGATCTGTCTGTTTCACTTTTTAACATTTTAAATAAATTTACATCTTAATGTTTAAATGCATAATGAACATCTTAAAGGAAATTAATTGTTTTTTAAAAATTATCACATAAAATATTTGATAAAATTTAATATATTATTTCTTTTTTTAAAGTTCAAGAATGCTGCTATGATTGAAATGGAGGCCTGCCTCAAAGCATGTCGATTTTTAATTCTGCAACATGTAAGTTATCTAAATGTTCTGAAACCATTGAATGCACTTATCAGAAATATAAACTATATCTTTGGGTTTAAAGTTAAGTTACACTTAACATTATTTAGTTGTTTTTTTTTTTTTTCATAAATGATAAGATATTTTTAGAGTAATTTTAAATAAAATTAAAAAAATTAAAATTTAAACCAACATGAAATAAGTTGTATGCAATTCAAGCAGATTGAGTAGTGCGTTATATTTTGTTTCATTGCAGAAATATTTGCAAGCTTCCGACTTTTTACAGAATGTTGTATACATACACCCACCTTCACATGAAGATGACAGAGTAAGTGTGAACATTGTCAGAATTTCCCTTCTATATCATCTGGCAGTTTTGTTATAATTGGTTTTAAAATATAAACCAAATCTCTTTAAATTTTGTAATTGTCATATTGTATTGATTTGTTTTTTATACTTTGTCACAGCTGTTTTTGTTTGTTTTTTGTTGTACATGTTAAAATGCTAAACTGGAATGTTCGGTGCATGAATATGTCTATTTTTAACTTCTGGGTTGTGGTCAGGTTAAACAATTTTCAAAACTTTTGCACCATATCAGCATTTGGTATATTTTTTATATGTCAATAGTGCTTGAGAAACATGATTATTTAAATAGTCTCAAATGGCTGTTAAAATAAAATAAGTCTCATAACACTGTTAAATAGTCTCAAATTACTGTTAAATAGTCTCAAATTACTGTCAAGTCTCAAATCACTGTTAAAATAATGCACTTACATGTATCTGACTTCAGTCAATGAAATTATTATTACCTTCATATGTTCAGTTTACAGAAATTGATTAGCTCTACCAGAAATAGGTTAACCATGCCACTATGATAGTTACTAATTTCACCAATTTTTGCATCCCTTTTCTCCAGATTCAGCGCTACATAACACTCTCATCACTGTACAGTGAGATAGGGTTTAGGCGCAAAGCTGCATTTTTCCGCCGGGTGTGTGGAATGCAGTTTGTTGCTCCAGAGAGCTCCCCCAGCTGGTCGCAGTGTTATGAGCTGCTGCTGCAATGTCTAGAGGGCTACTCCTTGTCCATCAATCCAAAGGAAATTAACAGGGGTAAGTAAGAACTACACTAGTTTTTTAACAGTGAATAGTTTATTAGCAGTGAGTGAAACGCAAAGAAAAACTCACAAAGTGTGCTATGGCATTTTTGTTTTCTTAAGTCGATCATATATAGACATTATCTAAGAGTGAATACATATATATAGTACAGGGGTCGGCAACCTTTTGAAGCGGAAGAGCCAAAAGTTACAATTTTCAAAATTTCCCTGGTTTTAAAGAGCCACTAACATTTTTTTTTAATTTTAAATATCTTATATTTTTATTAAGATTATTAGCAGTGGCGGAACTAGTAAAAATACACAAAAAAATGAACATAGGATACTCATATCTGGCCAGATCGGGTTTTGAAAAAAAAATGTCTTTGTTTTTTGTCATTTAAAACAAATTACCACATCATCTCATGTGTGTGAGTGCATTAGTCTGATTTGAAAATATGTTTCATTTTAAGTCGGCTGTAACACAGGTCTGTCAAAAGAATATGAAATATCAAAGCTTTGTGTATGTAATGGTTTCTCGTGTTATGTTTATTTTTATGTCTTTTTGTATTTTTATTATTAACTTTTAATACAATTCATTTTTATACTATGTCATTCTTTAGTATGTATTAAAAAATAATAATGGCGAGAAGGAATTGCTTTTTAATAGTTTAGTACAAATCTATTTAAAGGAGCTTTTGAGCACCCCTATTAGACTATTTAAAAAAAGGAAATAAGTCACGGACGTGGTTTAAACGTTTGTCTATCTTTCACAATGGGTTAAAAACAAAGGGAATAATTGTACAAGAGCGTGGGATGTTGTCTTTAGAATAAAGATAATCCAATCGAAGCTACAGTATTCTTTTAACAAAACAACCATTAAGTCAAAAATGAAAGTAAATTAAGTTTTTTATCTATAAAAAATTGATTATGGTCGGCTGTGGGCCCCTAAACGGCGTGGGGCCCCCGCATTGCGGGGTCTGGCGGCACTGTAGTTCCGCCCCTGATTATTAGTATTTGTTCAAGGAGCTGGAGAGCCGCATCTTGATATCAAGGGAGCCGCATGCGGCTCGCGAGCCGCAGGTTGCCGACCCCTGATATAGTAGCATAATTATACATATTTCCACAAATATGACAAAATCAAATTGTATTAGATTAATGACTATTGTTTATTCTGGGTTTTTTATCAATTTATCACTATTCCTTTTCTTCTTAAACTAATTGTCAGGGTACTAAAATATTGTTTTTCTATTTATTAACTTTTTTATCTGAAATAGATAAAAACCATCTAAATTTAAAACGGATGTAATTTTTATGCATTAGGAATTTTAAAAGATATTAAGATGTGCCTTAGCTGTCATACTTAATATTTTTAAAAGATCAATGAAAATGCATTTAATAGGATTGATAAAACAGTATGGATTGTTTCCCTTGTTAGATACCTACATCATTTCCCCCTCCCCTTATTTTTAGATCATCCATCTGGCTGGCCTGTGCTCCAGTACAGAGTGCTGCATGAGCTTGTGTACTCCGCCAGGCGCATGAGTAATCCCCAAATTGCTGTAAGGTTAGTGTCATATTCTATTTCTATCACAAGCCATTTTTTTAACTTGTCACTTATTCTTGGGTTCCCTGAGGGACATATGCAAGTTGTGTCCCTTACCCATAATATTAATAACATTCTCCTTTTCTGTGTATCTTGTTTTGTACTAGTTTGCTTCTAGTTTAAATTTCATGTGATGTTAAACAATAAAACTTTATAAAAGACAATGTAGTTGTTATTAAAATACATTATTTGATTGTTTAACTTAACAAATTGTAGTTTTAAATAAAAAATGTAAAAAATTAAACCATTAGACACAAAATATTTAACAAAGAGCCATAGATAATAGTTTCTGGGAATATTTAATCTTGTTTACATTAATCTGACATAATTGGTAAAAGGAAATTTGTGTTTTATATGTCATTTAAAATCATTAAATAGAAAAGTTCTGTGTTGTTTTTAAATTGAGTAAATATATATTATACTCTAGCTTAATAATTTTTTTAGTAAACACATGTTTTCAATGTATTTGACCACCTGCCTTTGTGTAGACACATGACCCTGATGGCTGATGTCATGCTGCCCCACCTGAATGTCACTGACCAGAAGGAGGTCATCACAGGCCTGTCAACCTTGACCCAGAAGTGTCAAGGCAACCCTCAGCCAATAGCCCTGGACTCTGGTCTCATCCTACCCCCTGTTCCCCTTCTCTCACTGCCAATTGTAAGGTGAGGAGCTTTGGTAGCCTGTAATTTAACATCAACAAACTGGTCATACATGAATAAATTATATGTTAAAATCTATTATTAGACTTCAAGTTCAATCTTTAATGTTAAACCTAAAGTAAAAAAGAAATTTAGTTAGTTAAACTGTTAAACAGTATATAAGACTAAATGGCAGATAAAATGTATGTGGTTATGTTTTTTGGCATTCTACAGATGATTTAAGGTATTACCCACAGTCACTCATAGCAAATAAAAATCTTATGTGGTTATGTTGATTTTTTTATCTTGCAGATTATTTAAACTGTTACCCCCTGTCCCCACCTTCAGATAAAATATATGTGATCATCACTGTTCCCTCTAAGCTGCGCAGTCTTGCAGTAGTATTGAACCTGTCACGCAGTTATTTTGTAAAATACATATATCCTTGTAGAAGACTTATAGAACACCGCACACACAAAGTACATGTTGCACACTAACTTTTTTCCCCCTTAGAGGTTATATTGATTTTCTTTACCCTTCAGATCCTGTAAGATAATTCTCTCAGTCCCCAGCTGCTAATATTTTATTTGTGGTTATGTTTTTTTTTATCCTGCAGATCATTTAAGCTGTTACCCCCTAGTCCCCACCTGCAGGCTAGCAAGATGGATCTATCTGATGTAGTAGACCCTGCCAGTATGTTTATTTACACCCCTCTCACTCTCGGCAACAAAAAAGCTGACGAAAGCAAACCTGGTAATATTTCAATTATTTTTTTTTTTACAACAAGTGTCATTGTAATTCAACTGATAAGCATTAGATCAAGTGGAATCAATTTAGTATAGATCCAGTATGTAGGAAAGCACAGATGGTATAGGCTTTTTTAGAAGGTTTATGGCACATGTTAGTACTATAGTACTTATACTGGCATATTATTTTATAGGGGCAAGTTAAACTATTTAAAAAGATGGGCTCAGCTTATGAGCAAGTTGTTTATAATTTTAAAAAATACACAATTTATCTGTCATGTTTCATACTGCCTTCAGTGACTTCAGAGACACTTTTGTATGTACAACATTTGTCCAAATTTTATTTTTAGTATAATATGAATAATAATATTGTTTTGAAAAATATGTATGCTTGCATATCCATCCTACATTGTACGCATGAAATTAAAAAAATTTCTTAATCACTTTACATTTTTACCACATAAAATGGAGTTCAAGCTATCGACGCCCCAACTAAAGCTTGGAATTGAATTTCCTTAGTCTGCTTCGCTTCCTAATGATTTATTTCTTTATTAGTGTAGTACATTTTGATTGCATTAATCTGTTTGTTTCAGATTTTAAATGGGTGTCTGGTGATGTTTGTGAAGCTTCACTACAGCTGATAAATCCTTTAACAGATGAGCTCAAAATTTTTTATATGGTAAGGTTTTATTTTCATTATTGATTTGAAATTACAGTGTTTTTAAAGCTTAAACTCATTTTATATTTGATAGTTACTATCCTGAAATAAACATAAGAAAAAAAAACAATTTTGATTTGAAACTTATTTAATTTATTCATCACAAATAGTTTTTTATATGCAGTTTTATATGTTAGATAATACTAATAGTTTTCTTTAAAAAAAAAACAATTGTTGTATACCAACAACAGTTGTCTACCCTTGAAATAACTTTTTTTTTTTTTTCTCTCTATTTCAGGTGCTGTTGACTGCTGAGTTGGAAACAGAAGTTTTTCCTGCCAGTCCAGTTATTCCTCCTGACTCAGGTCTAATGAATATTAAACTGATGGTCAAGCCCAAAGCTACTGGGGTACTCAAAGTCTTAGGTAAGCTGTATAAAGTCTACTAAAAATGTATTTTATAATGCTGTAAATCAAGTACCCAAAGCCTCTGTTAGAATTTATAAAGCTAGTGGAAATTATTTATTTAAGAGGCTTATAGTGTTGTAACTCTAGAATCAAAAGTCTTAGGTAAGCTGTATAAAGTCAGCACTAATTGTATTAGCCGGGTGTTTTATAATGCTGTAACTCAAGTACCCAAAGTCTTTGGTAGACTTTATAAAGTTAATAAAGTCAGTGCAAAAGTTTTTCTTAGATAAAGAGTGGCTTATAATGTTGTAATATGGTGTAGGTCATTTTCTTGGTGCATACTAATCGTGTAAAGGTTGTCCATAAATGTTGTCACAAGCCTATTATGAGTTAGTTTGTTGTCGTTTTTTCAAGCTATTGTAATAGATGTGGGTAGTTTTAAACACAAATTACAATAATTAACAATGTTTAATTTCATTAGAATTGTGGCTTTTTTAAGGTGGGGTGTCGTGAAATTTTGTGACTTCCTTTATGGACTGCTGCTTGTCTTAGAAACACTGCTTATAGGATATTAGGTTCAGATGAGGATTAATTGTATTTAATATTTATAATGGTAAACTGTAAAGTGTTCTTGCTAAATGTGTCACCTTAGCCCAAAAGTTTATATATTTGTCCCTTGTCTTTAAGTTTACAATTTTTTATAAAACCTATTCACGTCCACAGGGTACACAACTATAGTCTGTGGTGTAAAAAGCAACTGTCGACTCCGTGATCTCAGAAACCTGCGACCCTCTCCTATGACTGAGATAGTCATAGAAGTCATCCCTCCCCTGCCCCAAGTTGTGCTGTCCTGCTCTCTTCCAAAGTCCACTGTGTTTTCCTCTGTCGGGGGTGTGGCCGATGTTGTGGCCACAGGCTCAGCCATTTTGTTTGCTGGCCAGAGGTAAAGAATAAAATGTTATACTTAGTTAATATTTCATTTATTATTTCCCAATATTATGAGAATTTCACTATAGAGTATCAAGCTATTTTAATTTTTTGTTAGTGATATTCACAACACCATGATTTTTCCTTCTCAAAATTTATCTTTTTATTTCCCTTGGGGGTGGAAGGCTCAGCCATTTTGTTTGCTGGCCAGAGGTAAAGAATAAAATGTTATACTTAGTTAATATTTCATATATTATTTCCCAATATTATGAGAATTTCACTATAGAGTATCAAGCTATTTTAATTTTTGTTAGTGATATTCACAACACCATGATTTTTCCTTCTCAAAATTTATCTTTTTATTTCCCTTGGGGGTGGAAGGGTCATATTTTTGTTTTGGTTAATTGCTTTTGATTTATAAATATGTTCTGTCATTATACAATGATTCATAATATCATGTGACATGTTTATAATTTATATAAGTTTTCTTTTTGAGTTTGCTGATCAGTATGTGTAAATGTTTCATTTTTTATCTCCCTTTCCATTTCAGCCTGGAATGTATCGTCACCTTACAGAACACATCTGAGTTACCTCTTGAGAAGTTAACTGTCAAACTCAACTCTAAACATGATGTACAAAGTAAGGATTTGTTCCCTGTTCTTCAGTATTGTACACTAGATCAACAAATAACATTAGGAAATTCTGGGTCATTATATTGTTATTTGAATTAATATGTTTTGGGTCATTGTATTGTTATCTGAAGGAATATGATCTAGGTCAATGTATTGTTATTTGAAGGAATAAGTTTTGGGTTGTATTGTTATCTGAAGGAATATGATCTGGGTCAATGTAAACTAGTTTAAAGGAATAAGTTCTGGGTCATTGAATTGGCGAGTATTAGAAGGAATAAGTTCTAGGTTAATGTGTAAGAGATAAGTTCTGAGTGAATTCATTAGTGAGTAATGTAAAAATTATATTAAGAGAATTTGTGTTGTTTTTTTACTGTTAATTCTCACACTACTGTACCATTTCAAATCTTGCCATTGCCAGATTCCCTGTCCCGGATCTTAAGCTGGAGTGAAGAGAACATCAACTCTCAGCTGCCACTCCTACCCACACATCACCTCTGTTTTTCTCTGTGTATCAATGGGGACAGCAACTTCCTGCACCCAGCAGAGCTAACTTCATGTGAGTTGTCATTATCCATCCCACTTCCCAAATTTAAAAAAAAAAAGAGTATTATTCATCCCACTTTGTGGACGTCATAATTGGATGACCCCTTATCCATCCCACTTACCTTGTTGTTGTGGGGGGGGGGGGGGGGGGGAGGGGATATGCAACTTTTAATCTTTTATTTATTATTCTATCCATATCCGTTTCCCTCAATATTATTGAAAATATACATGAAAATTTGATTTTACTAGTAGATTTTCCAATGTTTCCTTGCTTTTAAACTGTATGTAGATTCACCACTGTGTCCTAACTCAAACAAAATTATTTGCAGATTCTCCGATGTCCCCCACCAGTCGGTCAAGAGCTGAGAGTGTGGACAACAAAGACAAGGTAAGGAAGTTGTAAAACAGTAGCTTTACATTATCTGTTTCCCTTATCATTGTAATGTGTGCTGATGTCGCGCCAGATTTTTGTGACATAGCCTTTCTAATTTGACAATATTCTTTACTCAAATATTCAGAAATTACTTGTTTTGTCTACACAAATATTCCAGAATTACAAATATTCTTTACTCAGATATTTAGCTACTACCATTAGTTTTTTTTTTATAGCTTCCAGTGTGAACAATGTTTTTAATTAGCAATTTTACTGATGTTGGTATGGGGCAAAGATTTTATGGTCCTTTTTTTAAAAACTATTTATACAGGTAGCAATGCATTTTAACCAATTATCAAATCTAGAAAATGGGTTCTTTATAATTATTGATAGTATAATAATTAATTTTAAAAATTATTTCTATTTCATTTTTTTTTCTTATTTGTTCTAATGTTTGTAAATGAGCTAAAGTAAATTTCTTTTAAAAACGATGTTACTGTTTCAGACAATAGATGCAGTGTTATCTGTGCAATACAGTGGTGGGGAGGGGATGAAAGCTGGGTACTGCAGGCAGTGCTCACTGGCCCTTAACCTGGACATACTGCCCAGTGTGTACATCACTGGCTGGGATGTACAGCATACTGACAGGTGAGTTATGGTAGACATTCTGACAGGTGAGTCATGACATACTGACAGGTGAGTCATGACATACTGACAGGTGAGTCATGACATACTGACAGGTGAGTCATGACATACTGACAGGTGAGTCATGGTAGACATACTGACAGGTGAGTCATGACATACTGACAGGTGAGTCATGGCAGACATACTGACAGGTGAGTCATGGCAGACATACTGACAGGTGAGTCATGGCAGACATACTGACAGGTGAGTCATGGCAGACATACTGACAGGTGAGTCATGGCAGACATACTGACAGGTGAGTCATGGCAGACATACTGACAGGTGAGTTATGGCAGACATACTGACAGGTGAGTCATGACAGACATACTGACAGGTGAGTCATGGCAGATGTACTGACAGGTGAGTCATGGCAGACATACTGACAGGTGAGTCATGACAGACATACTGACAGGTGAGTCATGGCAGACAGACATACTGACAGGTGAGTCATGGCAGACAGACATACTGACAGGTGAGTCATGACAGACATACTGACAGGTGAGTCATGACAGACATACTGAAAGGTGAGTTATGGCAGGTGAGTCATAGCAGACATTGTGACAGTTAAGTTATGACAGACATACTAACAGATTAATCATAACAGGCAGACATACTGAGGGCAATTCATGATTGCCAGTCATAATTATTGAAATGTTTTTTTTTTAGCGCAATGTCCATTCTGGAGAATTGCGTTTATTAACTCGTCATTTCTGGGAATGGATGGATGAATGAATGAATGTATGGATGAATGTGTGTCCGGGCTTTAAGTCGTATCTCCTCCTCAACGAAGCAATATCGATGACTAGTTCCAAAAGCAATTGTGTTAAGCAAGTTACGAGAATGAGCATAGGCCATAAAAATTCCGGGTTTCTTTCATGTATTTCCCGGAAAAGCCAAAAAACCTTGAAAAAATTCAGTTTTTGGCCCATATCTCGGCAACCAGACCACTTAGCGACTTGAAACATGTACCAATCGATTCCCGCCATAATTTAGAACAATATTGCCGAAGAAAGTTTTCAAAAATATCCTCTCGTTCGGTCACAACTTTTAAAATTACATAAACACCTACAAACCGATCGTTCTTCTAGCTTGAACGCACCCCAGCATTATACGTCAGAGCTATTTTTAGATAACATAAGGAAATTGCGCATAAATGTCACTAGACTTTTTTAATTAACTTGTTTTGTTTTTTTAATAGTTTTAGTAATTGCCAGACATGATTAATGAAATGTCTTTTTTTTAAAAAATAGTTTTAGTGATTGCCAGACATGATTAATGAAATGTCTTTTTTTTTAAAAATAGTTTTAGTGATTGCCAGACATGATTAATGAAATGTCTTTTTTTTTAAAAATAGTTTTAGTGATTGCCGCATGTGCCTGGACCTAGTCAATGTGTCGAGCCACCAGATAGATGTGCAATATGGCAACAACCAAAACATTATCTTAGAACCCCAGCAAACACGCAGGTAAATTAAAATGTAGCAGGGGTGGGGGGGGGGGGGGGGTCGGCAGTGAACTGGAGGAATACTAAATCATTCAGGGGTTTGTTGTTTTTTTTAACTATGATCGGAATTTTTAGAATTATTAGCCACACTATTAAGTAAAAAAAGTAATGATTCCTCTTTAGGCCTAGCAATCCATTGGGCCTGTGAAGTAGAGTTCATATGTTTCTTGACCTCGGTATATAAAGGGATGGTAAGTTCAGCACTATGCCCAGCCACCTTTACTTTCCTCAACATTAGGCAGGTAGTTATCAGAGCTGAGCCACATTCTTGATCACTTTCAAAATCTATATCTACAACCTTGATCACAACTAGGATGTATAGTAACAGCATTGATCACTTTCAGAATGTATACTTACAACATTGATCACTTTCAGAATGTATAGCTATAACATGAATCACTTTCAACTTGTATACATACAACATTGATCATTTTCAGAATTTGTATGACCGTGCCACGTATTGATTTGAACCTTGTTGACACAAGCAATGTACAGAAGGATTGTGTCTCCTTGCACTACAAGACCAAAACTCTGCCAGATCCGTACAGCCAGATTCTGGCCAACTATGTGGATATCAGGTGGTCTATGGTGAGTCATTTTACTGGCCAACTATGTGAGTTATTTTACTGGCCAACTATGTGGTCAGTTGTGATTTTAGTCGATAATTATATGGATACTGGGTGACCTATTGTGTGTTATTTTACTGTAAAATTGTGGTTTTTCTGGTACATTATGGTGAGTCAATTTCTATATATGTCAACTTAATGTATTCTATTTAGTTAATTTTGTTATTTGTTATAGACAAATTATATTTTATTATTTATGTGTGTCCATGTTGACTAAATTTTCTAGAGTGTGTAAACAAAATTAGTTTATTCCTGGCCGACTGATATTCCCATTTTCCTCTAAAGAAATAAATTGATTTTTCTTAATATTTTTAATCAATTTCTCTAGCCTGTGGCCAAGGCAAGTGGAAAAGTTGGCATAGAATACATCAAGTGGTCACCTGAACAGCTGTCTGTGCTTCTCTCTCCAGTGGTCAGATGGGGTACGTCCACTATATACTTTTTATTCTCAGCTGAGGTTTTTAATTGTATTTTTTCACTTATGATCCGTGGGGCGTATTGGTTGAGTGCACGATTCTAATGCATACCTGAGTTATGGAGGCTAAAGGTGGTAGGGCTCGTGCTGACCACACTATTCATAAACCGAGGTCAGCAAAACAAATGAACTCTACTTCATCTGCCTTTTGGACTGCTGGATCTATGATTTACTTGTTTAAAAAATTGCAAGAGATGTGATATAGTTAAACTATGTAAAAGATTTTAAGCAATAGACTGGTCTGAAAGGGTATTTTATTTTTCCTCTTGTGGCTTGCTGTTATTCCACGAACATGAATTTATTTTAGACTATTTTTTTCTGGGTATTGAAGTCTGGTATCCCCATGTGTCTTGGGCACAAAAGGGAAAATATAATGGATGGTGATTGAAGTCCAGTTTAGCAATAATACTTTCAAAATCTTCTGTTTGCCTGTTCAACCATACAAATGTATATTCCTACTTGTTATGCTAGTACACTGTTTATAAGGAAGTTTTTTTTTTTATCATCTGTTAACAGAAGTTCAGTTGAACAAGAAGACATTCATGACTTCGTCAAGATTCAGATTTACTGTTGGGGAGATCATAGAAGTAACTGTGATTGTTCAAAATACAACAGGCTAGTTTCTTTTTTTTTATTAATCCTATTCATCGTTTAAATTATTTTTTTTTAATTGAACAAACAATGTGTGATTAGAATTTTAGTCGTATTAAAATTTCAACATGCAATCTTTAACATACCGCTTAACCATTAACATGCACTGGATGAACTTTATTGTGCCATTTCAGTGAGATAAATGGGGGGGGGGGGGGGGGGAATTCTGATTGCTATAAAATATTTGTAGAAAATATAATGGTTTTGGAATTTGTAAAAAGTTGTCAAATAGGACTTAAGAGAACCAGCTTGGCTAATAACAAGCCATGGCTGATTCAGTAAATTGGCATTGTAATCAACCTTTTGAATACTTCCACAGATGAAGAAAAAACTAACTCCTCCCTTTCAATTGAACCTTGCCAGCGTCAGTTAGCCGGGGACCTGGAAATGGATTCTGTCAACATGTCAGTGATTGGCTGTTCAGCTTTGTATGTCCCACAGGTAACCAATCAGAATCTCAGTTTGTCACAACTAACAGATTAGCTGAGCCTCTTAAACCACCTCTAAATATAGATAATCTAACGTAAAATAATCTTTGATTCCTAAAGCTAGTTACTTAATGAAGTAACTAAATTTTAAGGATAGGTTGTATTAGGAAATGTATATATATATATATATATATATATATATATATATATATATATATATATATATATATATATATTAGTGCATAACCTTAACTCTAGTTCTAATCATTACTTAGCTTTTCTTATTTTTTTACAAAAAACATACTTAAATTTTAAACAATACAAACACAATGCAATAAAAAAAAATACATGCTCACACAAAGTAAACTACTCATCAGTCCCTAACCACTATGTTTATGCTTGCATGTTGACTACAAAAACTGTATATTTATTCCAGATACCTGCCAGTTCGGAGGTCGCTCACACCTGCTCATTTATTTTCTTCACCCCTGGCTGGTACTCACTGTGTATCACCTGTAAGCACAACCTTCAAGCCAGCAACCATAGTCATTCAACAGAAGTAAGCTCAAACGAGGGTGAACATCCAAATAACAAGTCAGCTGTGAGTAGAGGGGAGGGTGATAAAGGTTTGTCCAGGAGGAATAGTGACTGGTTGTGTACCATACCTATAAGGTTTGAAGTGACTTAAGCTCAAAGATAGTAGAAATTTTGTAGTTAGTTCAAGCAAAAAAAAAGTAAATGTTAATTAATTATAGTAAACATGATAATTATGTTTAATATTTATATGAAATTATAATTGTAACCTGTGATTTAGAAATGGTATAAAAAATTGAGTCAAGAGTGAATTTTTAATTAAGTTATATATTTTTTTAACCCTTTGATGACCAACGGACCAGAAAATTAATACTGACTTCATGAAAACAAAACTATTAAAATGCTCATGTCTGAATGTATGTACTCTGAACGTTGAATGCTGTGGCTGAATTCTGCCTAGACTTACCGTAAATACTTCTGTAATCATTCACAAATAAAACATCCCTCATTTGTTAAAAGGGTTAAGTTGTGATAATTGTATTTTATGCTGACAATTTGAGACCCCCAATATACTTGAAAGGTAGGGGATTTGTATAGTGTTGACCTTCTAACTCAACTGAACTTCCTCTGATTGTAGAAACAGTAATGTATGCAAAAACTCAACTGAGTTGGAGTTTAATTCTGGTATTTATTCTCAAATGAGGAACATCATCGTGTTATAATTGTTTAATTTTTTAATTTTGTTAAACTTCTTTTTTGTTTTTAATTTTTATCTATGGATTGCAAGTATCACTTTGGGATGTGTCCTAAAGGAATATTAGTTATCATTTTTGTTATAGGCCTTGTTCTGAAAGAAATTATGTTATCAGAGTTTTAAAAAATTATACAATTCCCCATGTTGTGATGTACATGAAAATTTTTCCCGTCATGTGATTATTATTGCCAAAAAAAAAAACAACCCCAGAAAATGTATGAAAGTGTGAGTGTGCTTGGTGAGTGGCTTCTGGGATACCGTTAATATTTACCTGCTTGACCCTGCTTGTGAAAGAGAAAAATTATATTTCACACTTTACCGTGTTAAATTGTATTTTACCAATTATATTTTACCGTGGTTACAAATTATATTTCACACTTACCATGGTAACAAACTATTTTTCACACATACCATGGTAACAAATTATTTTCTCATTGACCATGGTAACAAAATTATAATTCACATTTCACCATGGTAACAAATTATTTTTCACATTTCACCATGGTAACAAATTATTTTCTCACTGACCATGGTAACAAAATTATAATTCACATTTCACCATGGAAACAAACTACATTTCACATTTCATCATTGTATTCATAACTGCTTTCATCGTCCTTGACAACCTATGTAGATGTTTAAATACTGTATATGTATTTCACTTGTTTTTCTTATTTTACATATTCACATTAGTAGTATGTATGATTTATATACTAGTAGAATTTCTAACTAGTTTTTCATTAACTTTTATGTTAAATATAAAACCTATTTTAGATTTTTTTTTTTCCTTTTTTCAAGTTGCTTTTTGTTTAAAATTCAAGGTTGTATCTGCCTTATTTCATACAGGGTGTGAGCCTAATCTACATGTTTTTTTTTTTCTATCTTTTACTTGGTTTCCTTATGTTTCTACACCTTTATGTTCTTGTGAAAAAAAAATTTTTATACGTAGTGTACTTTTTCTTCAAGTATACTTAATTCTTGCGTATAAATATTTTTTGGACCTATCTCATTTGTAATAGCTGCTTTTTAGCAAAGAAACCTTATGCAATTTTTAAATAACTAAAAATATCTTTAAAACATCTTTCAGGCATAGAAATGTTGCAAATTAATTTTTTTCTTCAATAAGCCTATTGGGTTATACTTTTTCATCTGCATAATATTATTGTTTTTTTTAAAATCATGCTAAAACTTTCAGTAATAAATAACAGAAATTTAGAAAGTGTGTGACTAGACTTTCAGTAATAAATAACAGAAATTTAGAAAGTGTGTGACTAGACTTTCAGTAATAAATAACAGAAATTGTAGAAAGTGCTTGGTGCAGTACATTTTTGCTTGTTTTTATTTAATAGGTCATTATTGTATCTACTTGTTGTTGGCTGTTTAAAAAAAAAAAATCCAAGTCCATACAAGTGTTATGTTATTTACAAGAGACATGTATTGTTTCATGGTTCTGCACATGTATGTTAACGTGAAAGACCAGTGGTTACATAATAGTTATGAATATCCAGCAAGTCGGTGGTCAGTTGTTTTTTTTTTAAAGCCTAGACCAATATTAGTGGCCATTCCAATTCCTGGCCATGGCCTACTTACTGTCCATGGTTGCGCTCTGCGGTCAAGTTTACGGTCATTCGACTGGGGTTTTTTTTGTTAGCCATTGAAAATAATGTATTGCTAGAAATAAAAAAATTGTTCTAAAAAATGTACACAAGTAAATTTAAAAAGTTATTTAAATTTCTATGCATTTATGTCAATTTTAGCCTCTAAAGTGTAAATGTAATTATTTTTTTAAAATGTAATTACAAAGTTAGTTTGATGTCATTATTTTTTGCCATTACAATTTAATGCCTGATGAAAGAAATCTGTTGTAAAAAATGAATAGAATGTGCTCTGCACAATTTAAAATTTTGTTTTCAATATCAACTATTATGGCAATATTTTTGAAGTAAATCAGAGATATAACTTTTATTGATGTACATATACATTTGAAATGTATGTTAATGTTGCATATGATAATTTAAATGAACACATAAAAACCTGTGTGGAAAATTTTGGCTAGATCAGTTTGAAATTAATTAGTAATTTGAGATTAAAAATTTCTAGTCTTGAGACCTGTTTTAATTATTTATTATCCACAGTTACCTTTTCCTTGTACATTTTATACTTTAAAAAAAAATTAAGCTTTTCATGTACATTTAAGTAATTTATTTTTAAATTTTAACACAGAATAAGTTATATTTTCCTTAAAACACTAATATTCTTTTTATATAGTAAATTTCCTTCTTCAAATATTATGTTATGAGGATAGTATTTTATGTATTAAATATCGATTAAGATAGACTTCTGGAATAATTTGCAGTATGTGGCATACTTTCCGATACATCTATTCACAAACCCGCATACACTTCCCCATATACTAGTAAAAAAAAAACAGATTTTCTCAGCATGCACACATTACAATATTTTGTTAGTCTATCAGCATAGTAATAAAACTTTGTTTTTCATATGCTAGCATTTTTTTTTATATGCATTATGTAGTCACCCAACAATTACAGGTACTAAGCGATTCATTTTACACACATATTTTATACCTGTATTCATTGTATCAACATTAAAACACAGATCCTTGTCCACAACAAACAATTTAAAAAATTTAATGAAACTAGTAAAAATTTCTTTATCTGGCCTTATAGCCTTAAATTACAAACTGTGCCAGTTTGCCATTTTGTAGCCATGTTTTTATTCCCTGAAAGTGATTATTGTTATTTCATGCAAACTGTTGTCCTAGCTCTTCCATTTTTTTAAAACCAAATTTTGAGCTGTGAAAGTGAATAAAACTTTATTTAAACTTGAAAATTATATTAGCCTGATATTTTTTTTTAAATATTTCATGGGTTGTTTCCATGTTTTTTATTCTGTAATAGCCTTGAATTTTTTTTAGAGGCTAAATGATTGAAAAAACAAGATTATATTTCAAATTTAAAATTCTTGATTTAAAAAGGAGAAATTCTGACTATTAGATTATTATATTGCATTGATTTTATATTTAATTTCACAGTGGGACTTATATGTAAAAAGCTAAAATTATAATAATGATTTTGTATTTACAGACAAGGGATATTGTACTAAAAATTTCACAAATGTCTGTTTGTGTGAGTAATTTGTTTTTATTTTCTACTTTATGTAATCAACAGATTTTTATCATGATACTATTGTTTATAATATGTTGAAAGTACCATGTACAACATAAATTGAAATATTTTCCTTATGACTACTTTGTACTGTATGTTTAAAAAACATCAAATTTCCTGTCTCTTATAATTGGCACTCTTATATGTTGAAGGTGCCATAAAACACATGAACCCTGATATTTTTCCTTATGACTTCTCTGTACTGTATAGGAACCTAAAATGTCAAGTCTATTTGCATATATGTTGATTCATCAATGTACAGATATCCCATGTACACTGTTTTAGATGCTGTTATCTATGATAAATAATGTTGATGAGTTTAGCGATGAGTGAAATACATGTGATACACACTGAGAAGTCTTGTCGTGATTGCTGAACATTCCTACACAAACATAGGCTTCATTGATGCTAATTAAAAGGAAACATTTATTTTTATTTGTTTCATTGCTTTTTTTTTTTGTAAAGTTTTATTTTTTGTGTTCACATAATTTTGTTTTATGAATCTGTAAAAAAAAAAAAACCCCAGAAATAAGATGTTGCAAATAAGCTTAGACTTCACTTAAACAGTCAAAATGTACAGTAAGCTTGTGAACTCTTCACTAGAGAAAGTTTACTTTAATCATAGGCTTATTTTTCTTCATTTTTTTTTCTTTAATTCTAAATAAGATTTAGTCAAAATATTAGTTATTGTATTTAATTATTGAAGCTATATCTACACCATTTCTGTTATTAATATATTTTTAAGGATTATGTAATAACTGTTGTGTTATTTTTTTTTTTGGTTCTAAATTTCAGATTTTGTTTTACTTTTGTCCTATATGCTATAGTTTATCTTCTTATTATACATGAACTATAAAAATTAAAAGTGAAATCAAATGTGGGTTAAGTATAATCAATGATTTGCTTATATTCTTTTCTGCAAACCAAAATCAATATAGATCTCTATATCACATTAGTGGTGCTACTCTGCTAGGTTTATTTTACATTTAGTAACCTCATGTCCGATAACTAACACATATTTGTTAGTTATCTCCCCTGACTTTTTTTTTTTTAAACTTCGCTTACCAGTTGTTGCAACGTCCCAATGGCTAAATTTAGTACCATTGTCTGATAATAAACGCTGTTAAGTTGTTTGTAGAGCTGGATTTGTTTTAGTGTTAGCCAGCTGTATAAATTATTCGGCCCTCTAAATTCAACTGAATTTTGTCAGTTTTCTTCTAAATCAGTGGTTCCCAAACTTTTTCAAAAGTCGACTCCCTTTTATAAGAAGTAAGTGACCAGCGAATCCCAGAGAATTAAAAAGTCGAAATTAGTAAAGAAATTAATAAGCACTAAAATAAGATTTTCTAGCAGACTTTCAATATGAATTATTCTTGATAACTGTTTTAATACGATGAGTAAACTTGCATGCTATAAACTAAACATTCGCGGTTGAGTTTTTGTTAACGCCGACCTCATGTCATTATCAACATTTAATTTCTTTCTTTATTTTGCTTTTAATTGGAGAAGTGTTGAAATTCTATTCTCGCATAGACATGTAGACACCATAGCAACTAAAACTCGAAAGGCAATCAATTTCACCTTTAGGTATGTGCATACTTCACCATTGGGAACCCATGCTCTATATATCATACAACAGCACATAAAGATACATCTTAGATAGCTATTAATAGCCTTTATTACCACCTCTCCATTATATCATCGACCTAGTCGTGAGCTAAATGTGCCCATGGTATCTAGCAAAACCCCACCTTCCTTAAAAAAACAAATAACTAACCACATCTTAAGAGCGTGTATATTAATAGTCGATAGAAACAGGAAGTAATATGGAGATTCCTAAGTCTACAAAACAATTACCAAAACATACGCCTTTAACACGTACAAGTAATATGAACTACCAAGGGTTAGTTTGATTTGACTAGGGGTAATCGAGTTACCATTCCGGATTACCCTCTGCATGGACCCAACTGGTAACGTTATTGATTTATTCACATGGCATTTAT